AGAGAATAAATTCAAGACCTAAACATTAGAGTAAAAACTATAGAGTTTGAAGGAAAAAGGGAGAACGCTTTATTACACTAAGTTACCAATTTTAAAAAAGTGTATGATGTAAAAAGCACTAGCAACAAAAGACAAAATAGCTAAATCAAAGAAAACTATTAAGGGAGTAAAAAGGCAATTTTTTTTAGAAGCCAATTTATTTTATTTATTTTTCTTTTTTGGGGGGTCACATCCAGCAATGCTCAGGGGTTACTCCTGGCTTTGCACTCAGAAATTACTCCTGGCAGTGCTTGGGGGACCATATGGGATGCCAGGGATCGAACCCAGGTCGGCCGCGTGCAAGGCAAACACCCTACCCACTGTGCTATCGTTCCGGCCCAAAAAGGCAATTGAAAGAAGTGATTTTCTACATTTTTTCACCTCTGGCCAGATACTGGTTTACAGACTGGTGATTGAAAATCACTGACCTATAAAATACAATGAAATATTTAATTAATTGTGGTAAGGGATTGTAATAGAAAATAAAGAAGGAAAACTACAACTAGATAGAAAAAGAAACATTCCAGTTTTAAAACAAGTAAAGTACTTGAATCAATACTTCTCCAGAGATATATAATGGCCAATAAACACACGGAAAAAGCTGCAACATCTCCATTGGAAAAATTAAATCAAAATCTTATTGCACTACCATCACTTCATGCCCAATAAGATAGCTTTTTTGTTTTCTGTTTGGGGGCTAAACCCAGCTGTGGTTGAGCTTTACTTCTGGCTCTGTGCCCAGAGATCATTCTTGGGGTGCTTGGAGGACCATAAGTGATGCAGGTAATTGAACCTGGGTCAAGCGCCTTACCTACCGTACAGATGCTCTGTGCCCTAGGATAGCTTTTATTTAAAGAAAATAGCAAGTGTTTGTAAGGATGTAGAGTGGAGTCATTTGAACCCTTCCATATTCCTGCTAGGAGTACAAAATAATACAACAACTGTAGGAAAATGTAGTTATTTAAAAAGTGAAACATAATATTGCTTTATAATGCAGTGAATCTATTCCAGGGTATATTCTGTGGCTGGAAAGCAGACTATTATCATTCATAATTGCCAAAAGATGGAAACAGCCCAAATATTCATTAACAGATGATGGACACAGAAAATATGGGATAGGGAAACAAGTATTATTCAGCCTTAAACTGAAATGAAATTCTGATATGTGCTACAATATGAAGCTTGCAAACATTATGTGGAGTGAAAGAAGCCAGACACAAAATGTCACATATTATATAATACTACATATGAGATGGGCCTAGGGAAGGTAAGTTGGTAGAGGAAAGAAAGTAAAAGATGGGTTATCAGGGGTCCGGGAAAGAAGGAAAAGGAAAAGGAAAAGTTATTCTTTAACATGTATGCAGTTTCTGTTGGGCATGATGTAAAGAGCTCTGGAGATAAATAGTATTCATGGTACGTAATACTGTGTAGTTAAAGTCATTTTATTTTTTAATATTATGCACATTTTCTCACCATCACTCCAAAAACATCTAAGAGAAACAAATTAGCATTAATGGAAAAGATAAAGCTTAAACACACCAACCAGAAAAGCCTAGGTAAGACCCATTTAGTTATGGGAATACATAAACAGAAAAAGTTAGCATTTCAAATCACTAGAGAGAAGTGTTTAGTTAATTATAGCCCACATGCAAAAACTTACCTCTGTACCAAAAAGCATCACAGTAAAGAGAATTAATCATCCCTCTTTAAACATAGGTGAGTGGATAAGTGGATTTATTATTATGAGTGATTACAAATGCTCCAAAGATTGCTTTTTATAACATTTTTAAAGCATAAAGTTAGAATACAACACAGAGTAATAACTGGCTCTCGAAGAAACCACGCAGCTTTCCCCAAAGCAAAGGTGAAGGGTAATTAAAGTGGGTAGTGCCACTTAATACCACAAGCCAGTTTCAGACTCAGGAGAAAATGCAGCAGCTCATCATTATGATGGGTGCTACTTGCACATTCAGAAACATTCTCTAGCCTTGATACTATTGAAATGCCCATGAAATAATAGTCCTCCACAGCTGATGACTCCTCAAAGTAATACTTTAATAAATTAGCTAGAAATGCACATTTTGTATTTCACTATCCAAAATTTTAGGCAAGATTTCAAAACAGGTGGGTCTGGATCAATAGCACAGTGGGTAGGGGACTTGCCTTGTTTGTAGCTTCTCCGAATTTGATCCGTGGCACCCATTGGGGTCCCCAAAGCCCACCAGGAGCGATCCCATTTTGAAACAGACTTTGAAGAAATACTTTTAAAGAATTCTGTTTTTCTTAAATTCATCTATTTTTGATGATATTTGTAGGTAACATTTAATTAATAAAGGTTTATTCTGTACAGTCTTAATTAGCACGTTGTCATTAATTAATCACAAGACACTGTTTTTCAACTGATCATATTAATGCTTCTCATAGAGAGAGAGAGAGAGAGAGAGAGAGAGAGAGAGAGAGAGAGAGAGAGAGAATGAGAGCACACGAGTGTTACAAAGGTCATTCAGTCTAGAATCCAAAGAGAGAGACTTTTGGTCAGAAACATGAAAGGTTAGGAATAAGAGCCCAAATGCAGAGTCCCCAGAGAGCCCAATCTAATGGGCCAGGGTAGTCCCAGCCTCTGTCAGACAGTTGTGATGAAATTCTCAAGAACCTCCTTTTAGGGCTGAATAGAAGATTGAATTCCAAAATGACAGCACAAATTGAATTCCAAATTGACCCAGTCCCCAGGAAAATTGACAAAAACTTTACAAAGAAAAATAGTAAGTTTCTGAACTTTACCCTAATGGCAAATGAAGAGAAATTTACTCATTGTCACTGTCACTGTCCACTGTCCTCTTGTTGTTCATCGATTTGCTCAGCAGCTCAGTAACATTGTGAGACTTGTTACTGTGTTTGGCATATTGAATACATCACAGGTAGCTTTCCAGGCTTTGCCCTGCGGGCGAGATACTCTCGGTAGCTTGCCGGGGCTCTCCTGAGAGGGGCGGAGGAATCGCAGGTCAGTCACATTGGCTGTGTGCAAGGCAAATGCCCTACCCACTGTGCTATCGCTCCAGCCCACACACTCATATATACACAAAAAGTATTAATAATAACACATGCTGGAACGATAGCACAGTGGGTCAATTACCATGTGACCTAGTAATTCCACGTATTGACATCTTCTTCCAAAATACAAAAGCACAAATTAAAAAAGATACATGCACATCTATGTTCGTTACAGTGCTAAGGACAAGAGCTGGGATATGCAAACAATTCAAACATCCAATGACAGCTGAGCAGATAAAGAAATTGTGGTATATACAGTCAAGGGATCACTGTATCACTGTCATCCCGTTGTTCATCGATTTGCTTGAGTGGGCGCAAGTAACATCTCTATTAGTCCCAGCCCTGAAATTTTAGCAGCTTCTCCTTACTCTCTTTCCTAATGCTGCCATATTGGAGGCTCTTTCAGGGTCAGGGGAATGAGATCCATTATTGTTACTGTTTTTGGCATATTGAATATGCCACGGGGAGCTTGCCAGACTCTGTATCAGTCAAGGGATACTACTCAGTTATAAGAAACGATGGGATCTTGTAATTAATGTCAATGTGAATGGAACTAGAAGGCATTAGGATAAGAAAAATGAGTCAGACAGAGAATAATAAATTCCAGATGATCTTACCCATCTGTGGTATATAAAGAAACAGAGCAAAAGAATAGAAAATATTGAATGGTGACCATTCCGTGAAAACTGAGAGTGCCAAGCAGGTGGTGTGGGGGGATGAACAGGTGACTAGAAATAATTTAAGGACAGTGGTAGATGATCTTGGACACTGGTGATGATAAGGTGCAGTAGCTGGACATCAAAACCATAAACACTAACACTATTTAAAACATGTTACTAAGCTACAACAATTCTTTTGAGCCTGTGGTGTTTGATGCTTTTCCTTTCAGGAAGGTTGAATCAAAAACACAAGTTTCCTATCCCATCTCCTCTCCCAATACCCAGATGGAGACCATGCTTCATGAGAAAAGGAATTTGGCACTTTTCATCCTGCCACTCACTATGAGACTAAATACTGGGTGAGTGCAGCTGAGATGTGGGAAGCCTCTTTTTCTGCCCTGCCCTTCCTTGTGAGACTGAGCACTACACCGGGTGAAGCTTACTGGAAATACTGGGACCTGGCTCCTCTTGCTTGCTTACAGAAGAAAATAAGACCTAAGAAGACTACCGCCCCCACTAGCTCAAGGGCACTGTGCCACTGTGCCTCCTAGGGAGACGTGTCTTGATCCTTTCTCCCAGCCCTGCACCCCTGGCCTTGCATCTTGTAGGGAGAAGAGGGAGGCCTGAAGCAGGTATCTACCAATCTCTTGGTGGTTTCCATGACTGGCTCAGGATATACTCATCAATAAACCTAGAATTTTCCTAAATCATTTGGCTTAAACTCCCGTGTGTGTGTGTGTGTGTGTGTGTGTGTGTGTGTGTAGTGAGAAGAAAACATCTTATATTGTGACTCTAGAGACTATCGTGATGATGATCAGTCCTTGTCTGGAATAGGAGCTTTTTCTCTTCTGGCGTCTTAGTACATAGACCAACTTAGAGGGGAAAAAATGAACAAAAATGACCTCATTCATGCTTTCTCATTCTAATAGTACAATGGCAGAGTTAGCACCAATTCAATAATTACACAAGTAATCATGTTAAAAATTAAAGTTGCAAATGGTACTGAACTTAATACAGTGAAGTTTTGCCTGAATAAATGAAGACAAAGTTTATCCAGAGAGGAAGGAGTTTCTAGACAAAGGATACTGCTTATAGTAGAATATAATTTGTCACATTGAAGAACCCAAGTTCTCCTTAAATACACTCTTAAACAAACAGATGGCAATGGCAGTGAGATGAGCTATTTTGTCCCTTAGCAGCCGCCATGCAGACGCACGCGACTGTGGCCCTGTCGCACGGATCCCTGGGAGTTGTAGTCTTGGCCCGCTCCCGTAAGTATGGCGGCCTCCATAGTTGGGTGCTGCCGGCCTGCAATGTGCCTGACCCGGAGCTTCGGAGCCGCCCGTTCCCGGGTGCCCGGGCCGGGCCGGCCGCAGAGCACGGGACCGTCTGAGCCGGGCGCGTTCCGGCCGCCGCCCAAACCGGTGATCTCGGATAAACGCCGCCAGCGGGACGAAAGCAGGTGAGCCAGGTCTCCGGAGGTTCTGCTGACCCGGAGGGGGTCGGGGCCTCAGGGCAGGGCCCAAGGGTGCAGAGCCCCCGCCCCCGATTCGTGCCTGTCGGTTCTTCGAGAACCTTCTCTGCAGTCCTCAGTATCTCAGCCAGCAAAGAAGCCCCTAGACTTCAGGTTCTTCCCGCCGACCTTTGGCCTGTTTCTAGATGTTTGGATTTTTTCCCCCCTTTTTTTCTTGCATTGTTTTCGGGCCACACCCATCAGTGCTCAGGGTTTGCAACTTACTGCAGGCTGTGCACTCAGGGACAGCTCCTGGAGGGCCTAGGGGACCCCTGGGATGTCAGGTAACAACCCAGCTCAGCCACGTGCACGGCTGGCAAGCGCCCCCTTGGCTTGCTCCAGCCCTAGGACCTTGAATTTTCATTCTAATGGCATTTATACTTTTTCTTTCAATTGTTTCAAGCTGAGTTTAAAATCTGTTAAAGAAGAAAACAAGGAGGTTTTCTGTTCAGGTAATTTTGCAAAGTGGTGATTTAAATGTTCCTGTCTTTTCTCGACTAATGGATTATGCATATTACTCAACCTGAGGACCGAGATTATGGTCACCGACTCTGACAGCTAGTCTCCATTTAAATCTTGACTTGCTTAAATTATAGCTAAAAACAGGACACTCAAGTTCTCTGCCTACCTTTATTTCTTTACTCTTGAAGAGGCAATGATAATGATACTATCAATGCCTTGAAGAAGCAATGATGATACCAAACCTAATAAGTTGTCAGGTTTAATGTAGATTATAGATGTCAAGTCAGCCTTGGACGCACCACTAGGGGAGTACTGGGAATTGTTAACTTGTTCTCGTGAGAAATAACAATCAGTTTTAGAAGATGGACTTTTTCTGTTTAAAGAAGAGTAAAACTTGACATCATAAATTTTTCATACTTTGTTTATTTCACAGCGCTTACCTTTTTTGTTTGTTTGTTTATGTTTTTCATAGGTTCTTGAGCCCTGAATTCATTCCTCCAAGGGGAAGAACAAATCCTCTGAAATTTCAAATAGAAAGAAAAGACATGTTAGAAAGGAGGAAAGTCATCCACATTCCAGAGTTCTATGTGGGTCAGTGAGAATTGGATGTTTTTGTGTTTGTTTTCTTGCCATAGAGACAATTATTTTTCACAAATCTGGGTTTTGGCATACAAAGGAATTCTTAACTTTCTGTTAAAATACTTAGGAAGTTATGAAGTTACTTAGAAATGCTATTATTTGCTTTTGAATATTATAAAAAAGTTCACTGTTCTGGGCCAGAGATGTGGCTTAGCTGTAGAATCCTGAATGTATGAGACTCTGGTTTAAGTGCCCAGCACTGCCAAAAAAGATTACTTTCATCTTATAGGAAGCATCCTTCGTGTTACTACGGCTGACCCGTATGCCAGTGGGAAAACTAGCCAGTTTCTGGGGATTTGCATTCAGAGATCAGGATCTGGACTTGGAGCTACTTTCATCCTTAGAAATACTATTGAAGGACAAGGTAAGTAATACATCATTGCTTTGATTTTCTTGGAGATGTTATCTCAGGATTCTTTTTATTTTCTACTTCCTGAGATAAGACATTTGGAACTTGGATGTTGAATGAGGCTCCAAGGAATAGCATGGAGCCAAGTGCCTAAGAATGATAAGAACACTGGTTCTGGAGCCATAATAGAGCAGGTAGAGGATTTGCTTTGCACAAGGCTGACCCAGGTTTGATCCCTGGCACTCCGTATGGACCCCCAAGCCCCGTGAGGAAGGATCTCTGAGTACAGAGCCAGGAGCAAGCCCTCAGAGCTGCTGGGTGTGCCCCTAAAACAACACCCACCCCCCCAAAAAAAACCAAGTTTTTTGAGACATGGTTTTATGAGTGGCTGGAGCGATAGCACAGTGGGTAAGGCATTTGCCTTGCACACAGCCAACATGGCCAACCCGAGTTCGATTTCTTCGCCCCTCTCAGAGAGCTTGGCAAGCTACCAAGAGTATCTCGCCCGCACGGCAAAGCCTGACAAGCTACCTGTGATGTATTGGATATGCCAAACACGTAACAATTGTCACAATGTTACTGGGCCTGCTTAAGCAAATTGATGAACAACGGGAGGACAGTGACAGTGACAGTGACAGTGACAGTGACAGGTTTTATGAGACATGGTGCTTAAATTTTAAACAGAGGAGGGGAAAAAAATCTTCAGAAAAATTCTTTATGACACGTCCTCTTCATACCAATATCAGGTACTCTTTTCCTTTATGGGATGACTTACTATAATTTAAGGCACGTGCAGGAATTTAGGTTTGCTTGTCTGCTCTTTTTTTAGGTGTTGAGATTTGTTTTGAACTTTATAATCCTCGGATCCAGGAGATCCAAGTGGTCAAGTTAGAGAAGCGGCTGGATGAGAGTTTGCTGTACTTACGAGATGCCCTTCCTGAGTACAGCACTTTCGATGTGAACATGAAGCCAGTGGCACAGGAAGTCAATCAGGAAGTGCCTGTTAACGAGGTAAAAGATGTGCATTTGGAACTGTGCATTTCAGTCTAAAACAAGAATCATTTAAAAGCTTTTTGGAGACTTGTTCATGACGGTCGGCCTGATTCATTCCCTGTTTCTGTCTTCCTTTAGCTGAAAGTGAAAATGAAGCCAAAGCCCTGGTCCAAGCGCTGGGAACGACCAAACTTTAAGATTAAAGGGATCAGGTTTGACCTTTGCCTGACCGAGGAGCAGATGAAAGAAGCTCAGAAGTGGAGTCAGCCATGGCTTGAGTTTGATATGATGAGGGAATATGATACTTCTAAGATCGAAGCTGCAATATGGGAGGAAATTGAAGCCTCAAAAAAATCCTGACTCTGGGGCCGGAGTGACAGTACAGTGGGTAGGGCACTTGCCTTGCACATGGCCGACTGGGGTTTGGCCCCCATTGACCCCTTTTGGTCCCTACCCTGGGTCCGCCTGAAGCCTGCTCTTGAGTGCCGAGTAAGCCCTGAGCATCACCAGATGTGGCCCCAAAACAAAAACGTTTGATTCTGTCATGAATCTGGTGCATTGCTGAGGATACGTGATTCTCCAGGCACTAAAAAACTTGATTTCTCAGAGGACAGTCATTAAATCAGCAACATATTCATCATCTTAGTAGTACATTAAAAAAAAAAAAAACAAGAAAGACACACTTGTTTGTTTTTAAAAGAGAATAGATGTGGTGTGTCCAGTCTTCCTGGTGCCAGAGCTTCCATTGACACCTGCTAATGTTACCAGCATGCTCTGGAATGTGAACCAGAGGGTGGACAGGATGACGTTTCTAAATTTGTGAAATAAAACTTAAACATGGTCAAGTACGATTTCAAGAGTAATTCAGTACACATTCATGAACCCCTCCCCAAGAATAAAACAGTCTGTATTCAGAAATGCTTAAGAAGCGGGACCCAAGGGCCAGGGATGGAAGAGCAGTCAGACACCAGCCTAATGTGCCCACACACGCGTGAACTGCAAGTCTGGTTGGCAGAGAACCTAGTCAGCCTCTCCTTGTCATAAAAAGAAAAGGAATCTGAGAGGACTGCTCTTTCTACGTGCACATCCACCCACTTCCTTTTGTATGTAGGCTTTCTCCAACTTTGGAGTGCATCATTCTGTTGCTTTGAAAAATAAATATTACATAGGAATTGTTCACAGTGTGTTTAGATTTGAAAGTACAGTTGATGTGTCTAACAGGACATCATCCTAAGGGAAACCTCATGGAGAACACAACAGAACCTGTATTGTGATCTGGCCCTGCTTCCCCGAGATTCTGCCAAAAACCACTTGAGAAGTTCATGGATAAGGGCGTCAGTGAGTCCTCTGAGCTGTGGCTCACTGGAGGACTGGGCTGGGCTGGGCTGTTGGGGCTGGGGAAGTCATGTCTGACGGGAAGTCATGGCTGAGTCAAAATCCTGCTGAGGAATGATGCTTAGCTATACTTGTGTATGGTGATTGGAGTGTCCGAGCTGATCCGAGTTGGGAATGAAATGAAAAAGTTGCAATCACACATGGTAGAGAGCATCCGGATCAGACTCGTGGTAATTCTCTTCAGATTAGTGCACAGGAGAAGCACTGCCTTTACCAGTCTCCTGAATGATACTGCTCAAATCTACCTTCCGGTGCCGATTACATTTGCATTCCCTCCTAAATTGATGTTTTTTGGGTTCTATATTTTCAATTTGCTGATTATTAACTCGTTTTGGTGGTGTTACTAACCGGTAACAAGAAAGGTAAATTAGGAACTAGAGAAATAGCACTGTGGATAGGGTGCTTGCTTTGCATGCAGCCGAAAGAGTCCCATCCCTGGCAGCCCATATATATCCCTGTAGTCCTCAGGAGCAAGGAGTAATTCCTGAGCACTGCCAAGTTGGCCCCCAAGCAAAAAGGTAAACAGAGACTTTGCATGTTATTTGCTTTTGAACAAATTTGCAGGCCTCACCCAGTGGTGCTCAGGAATCACTCCTGACCCTAAGCAATGCAGGGGTGGCCCTGGTGGTCACAAGCCGAGCAGGACCACATCTTCCGGCCCTAACACAATTTGATTGGCCAAGAATTCCAAAAAGCAGGCTGGAACCACAGGACAGCAGGTAGCGCATTTGCCTTGCAAGTGGCTGACCTGGGTTCGATCCCCGGCATCCCATATAGTCCCTTGAACATCCATCACCGGATGTGACTGTAAAAGCCAGAAAAAAAAAAATTCCCAAAAGTGGTCTTTTGGTCCACTGAGCACTGCTTAGGAGAACTAAGAAAAAAAAAATTTATTCAGGGCTGGCCAAAGCTGAGCTGGGTTCAGTAGCAAAAGTACCTGTCTCGTAAGCAGGAGGCCATGAATTTGATTCTCATGCCCACGTGGACTAAGTACAGTACTCTAGCTCTCTCTCAGACATCTGTATCGTAAAAGGTTGTGCATCTACCCCCACTCTCCCATCCAGGGAAAAGTGTTGCAGCTGGAATGCTGTGTAGCCCAATGCGTATGGCATTCAAGATGTGCGTGCACCGTGGCCTGGATGCGACCCTCAGGGAGGGAGCACTGTAACCAAAAAGTGTGAGCACACAGCCAAGAATGACCTGCCATAAACCCGACTGCACCCAGCACCATGGTTGAGTGTGTGGGACCACAGCTGAGGGAGCAAACTCGAGGTCCCTGATTAGCAACAGGAAGGAAAGGGGAAAAGAGAAAACAGATTAGATAGTGGTTTGGGGAGGGTTTATCCTTGGGATTATCCTTGGGATTATTCATGTGCATGTTTTTGCGGGGTGTCTCTACCACATCAGTGTCTTGGTCTATATAGCAGAGTTATCCCATTTCCTTCCTGAAGTGTTCTGGGAGCCATGGGTGGAAAAACGGGGGTTTCCAGCATACTTCATTGATATACTCACTTGTCCTCTTGCCATTCACTGCGAGCTTCGGGTTTAGCACCCAGTGCCTGCAGTCCTGAAAAGTTACCAAGCGGTGTCACTTCTCTGAAGACTAAACCTGTGGGCATTAGCTGGTGGGAAGGTGACAGGCAGTGGTGGGGAGTGGGCTTAAGGATTTAACTGCCAGGTGTGATTTGTGTCATGTTTGTTCTTTCTCACCTGATAGAGCTCAGGGATAGCGCTATTCCCTGCACAGTGCTCTCCCTGTATTTTTTTTTTATTTGGGGTAGGGTGGGAGGGTTTGGACCAAACCCAGAGTGCTTACACACCAGGTGCAAATGTTTTGAATTTTTTTCTTATACCCCTAAAATCATGATTAGCAATTAGGATGTTTGGATGTGTCTTATCTGTTGGCCACTGTGGAATTTATCAAACCTTGAAATCAGACCACTTACTACCACTCATTTCTGCGGCATTTCTCAGGGCACTTGTTTTCTACCACAGGAACGTCTGAAAACTTGACTTCACACATACACACCTTCTCAAGTAATGCAGCATGAATTTCAGTTGAAATGGAATTTCCTATATCTGCATATTTCAGTGATTTCTGGCCTGTCAGGTATTGCCTTTTCCCGTAACAGTTTAAAACTTTTCCATCTGCACACTCCTTGCTCTGGCAACAAGTGGGTTGTCCACCTGCTCTTTTGACTTTGAACAAAGCCTTAAAAACTGCATTAATTTAAAAAATATTAAAAGAACAACTGCACTAATAAATGTTCACCTTTCTCTGGATTAACTAGGTGGCACTTGAATGTTTTAAGACAATTCTGTCGGCAATAAATCATAATGTGACTGCCTTACAGAATCTTCCTGGGAAATTTCTGGTTAGCTGGTCATTCTAAATAAAATGAATGACCAGCTAACATGAAATCAAGGTAGTAATTTTAAGGCACACTTTATACAGAAACTTGATAGATTTAGGTTGGTTTGAGTGGGAAAAGTTTACAACCACTGGTCTAAGATGCATATTAAAACCAAATTTTTTTGCTTACCCTACTGTTGTTTTCTTAGTCCGTATCCATCACCAGAAGGATAATTAATGTGGTCTTCAATAGTGCTCAACCCACAAAAAAGTGCCAGGGTTCACTGTTCTAGACATTCATCAGACCTTATGCATAATTGGGGGATGGAGAGAGTATGGGGGTCAAGGTACATGTCTTGTAGGTGGCCAACTCCTGTTTGATCCCTCATCCTTGCCAGGATTGACCGTTAAGCACAGGGGGCTTTTTTCTTTTCTTTTCTTTTTTTCTGGTGTGCTGGAGCGATAGCACAGCGGGTAGGGCATTTGCCTTGTACGCAGCTGACCCGGTCCGATTCCTCCATCCCTCTCAGAGAGCTCAGCAAACTATCAAGAGTATCCCGCCCGCACAGCAGAGTCTGGCCAGCTCCCCGTCACGTACTTGATATGCCAAAAACAGTAACAAGTCTCACAAAGGAGACATTACTGGTGCCTGCTCAAGCAAATTGATGAGTTGGAGGATAATGCTACAATGCTACAGTGTGAAAAATAAAGGTCAACCTCATTTCATTCCATAAAGCTATTTAGTTCCACTAATATTCTTTCTTTTTCCACTGAATTGACTAGGAAACCCCATAAAATCATGGTATATTGTAGGCTTTAAATCGGGACTCTCAATTCTAGTCTATTAAGACACTGAAAAAATCAGTATTTCACCTACTCACATATGATTTTATTCTTAGAGTAAAAATCCTAGAGAGACTAGTTGAAAAAAAAAACACCTTCATTTTCGGGGGTTGAGGGACTGGAGCAATGGGTTATATAATGAGTGCTGGATATTGAACCTGGGATCTCACATATACAAAGCATGTGCTCTACCACTTGAATCATATTCTTGTTTCCCAAACAATACCTTTCATATTAATTCAGAAAAATAACTGCAACTTCTTTTGGGGGGGAGGTCACACACACTGGCAGTGCTCAGGGATCACTCTTGGCTGTGCTTGGGGGACAGGTGCCATGACATGAGCCTGTGTTGGCTGCATGCAAGCCAAGTGCCCTTCCCACTGTCCTTTCTCTCTGGCCATACAATTTTTGTTTTTTAAGTAGAAATTAACGATGAGTGAACATTCTCTCAAACCTTTTATTTCTTAAAATAATTTCTATTATGCTTCTTTGTAAAGAAACCAGTTTCACACCAATGTTTCTTAAAACAAAAATTATGGGACAGATTTCTCAATTCTTTTAATATTACTTCATGAGTGGAGGTTTATATTCACAAAATTTGTGTTATATTATATTGGGGAAGGCTGGAGCAATAGCACAGCGGGTAGGGTGTTTGCCTTGCAAGCAGCCAACATGGCCAACCCGAGTTTGATTCCTCCGCCTCTCTCAGAGAGCCTGGCAAGCTACTGAGAGTATCTCGCCTGCATGGCAAAGCCTGGCAAGCTACCCGTGATGTATTTGGTATGCCACACACAGTAACAATTCTCACAATGGAGACGTTACTGGGACCGCCCAAGCAAATCAATGAACAACAAGAGGACAGTAACAGTGACAGATTATATGGGGGGGTCTGGAGCGATAGCACAGAGGGTAGGGCGTTTGTCTTGCACACGGCCAACCGGGGTTGGATTCCTCTCTCCCTTTCAGAGAGCCTGGCAAGCTACTGAGAGTATCCCGCCCTCATGGCAGAGCCTGGCAAGCTCCCTGTGGCACATTCGATAATGCCAAAAACAGTAACAAGTCTCACAATGGAGATGTTACTGGTGCCTGCTCGAGCAAATTGATGAACAGCGGGAGGACAGTGCTACTGTGCTATATTGGAGACTATATTAACAAAAATTTAGGCAGCTTCATAGTTCTCAGTAATTTGCTGTCATTGGCCTTCTCATCAATAAATATGCTATTTTCCAAATTCCACTGGTGAAACGCATCCTCTCGGTCCCACAGTCCATCAGCAGGAGTTTCTGTTCTTGAATGGCCAACACCTCCGGAGTAATGTACAAACAGATGGTGAGAGCACACAGCCCTCTTACATATGCAGATGTTTTTCCCACAGGCTTCTTATCAGACTAAGAATTTAAATTCCTAGTGTTTATGAAAGGGCACTACATTTTGTTTGTGACTTTTCTATAATCATTTTTAAACCTTTTTAAAATTATTTTTCTGGGTGAATGATATTGATTGCTAAATTTAATTTACTATAATGTTAAAGACTTTGACTTCAGAGTTCATGAGTGATATTTGTCTGATAGAGTCTCCACTGAGAACAAGGTGAGCTTCACAAATGCTTTTGACTATCCTTAACTCTTGTATCGTGAATAAAAAACTTGAGTTTTAAACTAAAATTCAGTTGAAAAGTTGGAATCTATCGTTTTTTCTAATAGTTCCACTCTACAAAAAGCCAGATAAATCTTTCGCCCAAGTTTAAAAGGGAACACACTAACCAGAGTTAATTAAAAATGCAAAAGTCAACAAAAAAATGCAAAAGTCAGAGGAAAATTTCCAAATGTATACTTTAATAATAAAAATATTACAAAATTTATATGTAACAAAGTATCTGCCATTTGTGTGAAAAAACAAGAGGAGAAACACCTGAGAAGGTAGCAATAAAAAAGCAGTTACTTCTGCATCACAAAACTGTCTGGAAATGCCAAATGCTTTTCATCAACAGCTTGAATTTTCTAGTTGTTCTTCATAATGGAAACTGAAAAAGATTCCATTCCATCTGATGAATCTTTACTGCAGCAGAAATAGCACAGCAAATTGTTAAAATATATGCAGATTTAAAACAACGGGAAATAAATGTCAGAGGCCGTGTACCCAAATCCTAGAATATAATCGACTTCCTGATATTTTGGACTTTAATTATAAAAATGCTTGATTAAATAAATCACATGTTCCAGAGTTCTTAAAAACCTATTTCCTCTCTATCACCAATGACAAACACCTAATAAAGAGACATTAAATTACCTAACAAGAAATAACTTAGTAAACCAAAAGTATAACACAGGTCTTGCATAATATTGATATCCTTAACATAGAAAATTTATTAAAAGAGATGAATCCGTATTTTCAAGAAAATACAATGACGACAAAAATAACAATTCACTCTTGAGTAGACAAAGTAATTTCAAAGATTCTTTTTACCCTGTTAAGTTTGCAATCAGTCAAAGAATAATGATAATACCTCCAGCTGGTGAGGGTTCATTGACAACTCATCCTGAGTGAACAGACGGCATTGGTAATACATTTCTCAAGAAGAAGCTAACAATAACTTATTAAGGGATGAGGCGACCATGTAATACAGTCCAATTAAGATTTCCATTTTCACTTGTTATAATATGAGAGAGCTGCAATAAAGAAACTGGAAGATGGTTTTAGGGTTCAAGGCAGAAGATTCACCTAAGATCAAACAACTATGAGCATGGCTTCTCCAACTCTTTTAAATTAGAAAAGGAGCTAAAAGAATTCAGATGAAATAGATGCATTCAAACTCTTGCTGCTTCTGTGTGTTAATTCTTTCAAGTGTTGCAGAAGCAGTAGCCTTTTATGATACTAAAAAGTAGAAAGTGGGGGAACAAAATCTTACTTGTACTGAATTCTTTTCAAGTATAGGATCAGTGTGACTATATTAAAAAAGTTATTTAGTACTTTCCTGTAAGGTTTACTCAAATATCTTTTAATACTGGTTTAAGGTGGTCTAGATGACATTCTTCAATGATGGATTCTGCTTGATTCAGAGCTTTTATTTTCACCAGAATAAGAAGTATCTCCTTGACTTCATCCCTGATAAATGAAACATTTTCTTTTAAAAATACAGTAAATCAGAACCAAAAATTTTACCTTAAGATAATGTCTCAAATAACATGAAATACTCAGATGCTACCTTCTTCACATAATTATAAACTTTTATTTTAAATACACTCTTTGTGGATGTATTCCAGCAGATTTTAATGTAAACGACTATAGAAAGGCTTGAAAGCACAGAGCAAATCTGTCATAAATCTGAGCTGTGCTGCTAATGTTTGATTATGCTATTTTGGTCAAAGCCTCATCAAATGCTGCAAATATGGGCTTTCCACTTAAATTTCTGTTGAAGAACTGGTTTAGCAATTCTCCTTATTAAGCAACCACACTGACCCCTAGTGCTGTGAATGAGGAATCAGAAACACTGCGAGCTGTTGGCAGGCAGGTAAATACCAGGCTACAGACCTGTACTTAACAAGTATCCAGACACTGAAAATTAAAAACTTTGTTCAATAACAGGCTTTCAACTCACAGTTTCACTTCTAAATTCCCTCTGATATACGGTTTTCTGGAAGTGCTTATTATGGAAGACTGACATTTAAAAAATATAAGAACAAATGTGCATGACATAGTGATTATAAAGCTATATGAAAATATTACTGTATTACAGCAATAAAGTCAGAGATGGTCTAAAAACACAATCTTTCTAAAAATTCCTGTGAACAGAACACTTGAACTATACCATGGAGCTATATATAAAATAAGCATTACCTGAATTCACTTTCAGATAATTTACGTGCAGTCTGTAGTAAAAACTGGATGAAATTTTCTAGTTGGGGAATAGATGTTTTCATGACAGAACTTTCAAACCATTTTTCTGGTAAATATGCTGCTACCTATTAACCAAAACATACAACAGTTTTTTTTCTTTTTTATAATACTAGGTATTACTTAAGTTTCTAATAATCTAATTCCCAGTAATCACACAAGCCACATATTACGGTTTTATTGTGGTTATAAGTGTTGAACTGTTTTCTTTCCCAAGTCAAAGACACAAACACATAGACACACACACACACACACACACACACACACAATTTCTGAGTATTAGATCTGCTGTCACTGTCACTGTCCTCCCGTTGTTCACTGATTTGCTCGAGTGGGCCCAGTAACGTCTCCATCGTGAAACTTGTTGTTACTGTGTTTGGCATAACGAATACATCACAGGTAGCTTGCCAGGCTTTGCCATGCGGGCGAGATACTCTCGGTAGCTTGCCAGGCTCTCCGAGAGGGATGGAGGAATCGAACCTGGGCTGACCAGGTTGGCCGTGTGCAAGATAAATGCCCTACCCACTGTGATATTGCTCTAGCCCATTAAATCTGCTAAAAAACAAAATTTCTAACCAGATACCAGAAACGCCTAGACACAAACACTTTGTTCAACTCAACTTTACAGAATGGATTTTTAATTATCACTTCGTAGTACTGGGTAGGTGATCTAGTACATGATCTGCACAAACAAGTTAGACAAAATATGACTTTTGATCTAATTTAATACATTGCTTTAACTATATATAGCAATAGGGAGAACTGTATAGGCATTCAATAGGTATGGTACATAATCTGAAGGAAAGCTTGATTTAAAACAGAAAAATGGTGACAGAAAAGAAAACTCTCAAAGTAGAAAGGGGTATAAAAGAAAGGAAAAAGAAGGAGCTGAAGAGATAGTACGGTGGGTAGGGTGTTTGCCTGATAGGTGGTTGACCTGGGTTTGATCCCTGGCATCCTATATGGTTGGTTCCCTGAGCACAGCCAGGAGTAATTCCTGAGTGCAGAGTCAGGAGTAACCCCTGAGCATTGCCAGGTGTGATTCAAAAAGCTTTAAAAAAGGAGGGGGGAAAGGAAAGGAAAAGAAGTAAATACTGAGGCCATAGTGTAGCACTGTTCTTCCGTTGTTCATCGATTTGCTCGAGTGGGCCCAGTAACGTCTCCATTGTGAGACTTGTTGTGTTTGGCATATCGAGTACATCACGGGTAGCTTGCCAGGCTTTGCTGTGCGGGCAAAATACTCTCGGTAGCTTGCTAGGCTCTCTGAGAGGGGCGGAGGAATTGAACACGGGTTGGCCATACTATTCAAAGAAATTTTTAGAAATAGGTTTTGCTTCAGTTGGTAAGATCTGGCATCAAAGGCAGAAAACTAGGGCTAGAGAAATACACAGGGATACAGTGGGCAGGACACCATGTGGCAGACCTATGTTCGGTTTCCGCCACTGCTTATGGTCCCTCTAAGCCAACCAGTAATGATCCCTGAGCACTGAGTCAGGGAGGAAGCCCTGAACACCACTGGGAAGCCCAATGGCTCCCCTCTCCCCAATCTACACATCTCTGATTTTAAACTTAATTTCTGGAGGTAAAATTGCTATGTCAAGGGTCCCTGTAACTGTCCTCCCGTTGTTCATTGATTTTCTCGAGCGGGCCCAGTAATGTCTCCATTGTGAGACTTTGTTGTTACTGTGTTTGGCATATTGAATATGCCATAGGTAGCTTGCCAGCTTTGCCATGCAGGCAAGATACTCTTGGTAGCTTGCCGGGCTCTCCGAGAGGGGCAGAAGAATCGAACTTGGGTAGGCCATGTTGGCTGCATGCAAGGCAAACGCCCTACCCTCTGTGCTATCGCTCCAGTCCTATGTCAAGGGTATGAATTTTAAAGATTTATTATGAATTATATCAAAACATAGTCACTCTATCTCTACTCTGATACTCCAGAATTGCTAGAAAACTTGGGAAACATTTACGTGGATGGCAGCTCCGGGATTCATGTGGGAACGCTGTTTCCCTGGACTCAGGACACTACTGAGAATTACAATGTAAAGAATAACAGTAAAAACAATCTGCTAACAAGAAAAATCATCTCCTTACTGTACAAGTTAATTTATTTGATTAATCATTTCTACATGTTTAGAGGGGCTGGAGTGATAGCACAGCACGTAGGGCATTGCCTTGCAAGCGGCTGACCAGGCTGACCTGAATTTGATACCTCCGTCTCTCTCAGAGAGCCCGGCAAGCTACCGAGAGTATCTCGCCCACACGGTAAAGCCTGGCAAGCTACCTGTGAGGTATTCAGTATGCCAAAAACCATAACAACAGGTCTCACAATGGAGAATTACTGGGCCCACTCAAGCAAATTGATGAACAATGAACGGGAGGACAGTGCTATAGTGCTACATATTTAGAGACTATTATTTCTGAAAACCCTTTTCTGATAAAATTGCCTATTACATCTTTTGGCCAGTTTTAATTAGACTATCTAAATTGCTTACTGACTCAAAATATTTTTCTTGAATGCAGATACTAATTCTTGTTATGTGTTTAAACCTTTCTAAATCTCTTAACTCCTACAGCTTTTTATTATCAAAAATTTCAAACAATTAAAAAAAAAAAGAGAGAACAGGAGCTAGAGACCTAGTAATACAGCAGATAAGGCATTATTTGTCTTGCACTTGGCTGACCTGGGCTCAACCACCAGCATCCCATATGGTCCCTGAACCCTGCAGGAGGAATTCCTGAGTGCAGAGCCAGTTACCCCTGAGCACTGCAGGGTGTGGATTCCAAATCAGAACCAAACAAACAACAGATAGGTAAAAAAAATTGCCAGCCTAATGATCCCAATCCTCCAGTTTTAACAATAATCAAGTAGTCATGATACATTTTTTTGTTAATGTTTTAAACTTTATTTTCTAAAAAAAATTACAATAAAGTTGTAATATTTATAATTTAATATTCATCAGAAATGTATCGGTATTGGAAAAATATTGGTATTGGTATTTCATTAGAAATCTATATTGGTAATGAGAGATATGGATTTTTTTTTTTTTAGTTAGCTCCTTGGCTAGTTAGCATCATTAAAAGGAATTTTTCCTTTCCTTACTACTGGTAATTCAAACCAGTATGGTAATTCTTAAACACTAAACACTAAAGGCCATTTCTGGTCTTTGAGTCTTAATTATTTTTTTAATATGTGGGTGCTATTTTAAAATTTAAAAACTAAAATTAGGATCAGTTCTTCCTCAACTTACCTTGCTACACTTTTGAACAACATCTGGGTCAACTGTGGCATTGAAAAGGGCTCTCAGAAGGTAACGGTTCAGCAGCTTCCCGAGGCCCAGCTCAAGCAAGGTGTCATCTGGGAGGAGTCCAGCCCAAAGAAGAATATTGTGGAAGAGCTACAATGAGAGAAAATATCAAGTGAGTATCTATCATTTCTCTAAAGGAAAACTATAACCCAAGTCGAGAGTTGGTCAAAATCAAACTCTTAAACTCCCACTGTTTAGATAGGTCAGTTTTCAAATACGTGCTTTCCAATCCACCTATTTGCTCATTCTATTATTTTACAATTTTTTAAAAATTTTATTTTAATGAATCACTGTGAGATAATGATATAGACTTACAAATTTGCATGATTACGTTTCAGTCATACAATGTTTGAGTACCCATCCCTCCATCCTTGCCCATTCTCCATCACCAATGTTTCCAGTATCCCCCATGCCCGAACTCCCACCCCGCCGCCTCTGTGGCAGGCACATTCCCTCTTACTCTTTCTCTCCTTCTCAATGTTATGGTTTGCAGTGCAGGTACTAAGTGGCCATCATGTTTGGTTCATAGTCTACTTCCAGCATATTTCTACCATCCTGAGCAAGCCCTCCAACCATCATTTATTTAGTGGTCCCTTCTCCATCACACTTGCCTTTTCCTCCAGCACAAGAGATCAGCTTCCAAGCCATGGAACAACTAACCCAAATCAATCTGAAATGGCCTTATCACAGTCTTTCTGGCTCAGTAGTCCTCCTCCCTCACTGTCTGGTGCCCCAAGAATGCCAGAGCTTTGTTAACAGCGTCACTGATACCAACAGGAAGCCTTGAGGCCAACTCCAACTCTTCATTGCTCTGACAGATAAAATTTCATTTTGTAACTGAATTTGGAGACAGTGAGTCAAATATTCATGGGAAATACTAATAAAATTAATAGTAGGTTGTCTTTCTCCTCTAAATCCAGATCTTCCTGTGAGTTTTATGCCTTCCACTTCCAGTATTACATCCACTTCACATGCATGCAGGTGAAGTAACACACAAAACCTGTTGACACTCATGGTTGATATCACTTTCTCTTCTTGGAAAGTCTCTTCTCTGTCTCAACCAATAACAAATACTGATTCACTCGACTCAAACTGTTGGTGCTAAGATTATGTATGACCTTCTGACTGTGAAACATAATCATCATTTTCATTCTTTCTCCTAATTCTCTTTGGTGGCATTTAACTCTTTATTTTTATTCTTAGAAACTACTCTTTACTTAAATTTCCCTGATGTCACTCATAAGCATTCTACCACTTCATTTTAGATTTCCTTTGAAGATTCCATCTTCTCTGCCATCTCCAATAATCTCTCATTTTCTCAGGCATCACCCAATGTCCTCAGAGCTTGTGTGTAGTGGATTATGGTTCCAAATAAAATCAAATATCTGGCTTTAGTTGTAGCACTTGCAATTTATACACATATGTTCAATGACCTAGTTACATGCTATTCTTCTTCCCCACGTATTTCTACAATTTGCTATTTTTAGAACAGATTTTGTTTCCTCTAAACTTTTTCTTCTTTCCATATATAGTCCCTCTAATACCTTAAAAAAATGTCTGCAGGTTACCTGTTTGTCAAAGTTAGCTAATACCCTACATTCTTCGAATGTAATTCGTAACCAAGTCCTTTCAATGCTTCATGCTAAATGTCTTTTGAATCTATCTTCTTACCATCCTTTTTGCTACTGACTAATCAATGAACCCACCCTTTACCTTCTAGACCAAGGATTAGCCAACTATGACCTGTGGGTTAAATTAAAATTGTGGATAAACTAAAACTGTGGGTAAGTTGACATTGGCATTTATATTTTATATATTGGTATTTATATTACATATAAATATATATTTATGTATTTTAACATTTAAAAACTATTTTTCTGTTAAATTTTGGAGTCTACTTATAATTCAACAAGCAGTTATCTCATTGTTTACATACTGTCTCTTTTGTACTAAAATGAATTACTGGGCTGGAGTGATAGCACAGCAGGTAGGGCGTTTGCCTTATAAGCGGCCAACATGGCCAACCCGAGTTCGATTCCTCCGCCCCTCTCGGAGAGCCCGGCAAGCTACCGAGAGTATTCGATATGCCAGACACAGTAACAACAAAGTCTCCAATGGAGACGTTACTGGGCCCGCTCGAGCAAATCGACGATCAACGGGAGGGCCTTTAATGAATTACTGAAAACACATAAATACAGAGTCTAAAATGTTTATGATCTGATTCTTTATGAAAGAAGTTTGTTAATCTTTGCTCTATGATAAACTAGATGCAAATTTTATTTTTGTATTTTTTATTTTTATTTTTGTATTTTTCTATTTACCTTTAGACTTGACCAGAACTGTCTGTCTTGGAACTTAGAATGAGGTGAGCTTTTGTTTTCTGTAGCACTGATTTTAAACAAAAGAAAAAAGAAAGAAAAAAGAAAATACAAGTGTTAATCATTTTTTTTAGATTTAAATTTTTTTAAATTTTTATTGAATCACCATGAGATACAGTTACAGAGCTTTTATGTTTGAGTTTCAGTCATACTGATTGAACACCCATCCCTCCACCAGTGTGCATTTTCTATCACCAATATCCCCAGTATCCATTCCCATCCCTAATCCCAATCCTTCTCCTTCCCCTGCTCCATGGCAGACAATTTCCCCAATACTCTTTCTCTAAGTTTTTGGGAATTATGTACAAACTGTCAATCTTTCAGAAACAGTTAAAATGATTTTTTTAATCAAACTAACTTTTAATAGAATATAAATCGAACTGTTCTGATAATATCAAAAATTATAAATGCATGCATATTTTAATCCCCAGAGTCCATTTCTGAAAATCCTTTCTATAAATATACTTGTACATGTACAGAATGATGTGTTATTCATTATACCATTTTACTACTTATATATACATCAATCACAGTAAATCTATATGACAGCATATTATGCAGCTTAAAAAGAAACGGGCTTATTACTGGTGATGATAAGCAAAGATCTGAAAGATACACTAAATTAAAATCAGAAACAACAATAGCTATAATTGTTCCCCATACACTCACTTTGTTATATGTAGGATGGATAGAAAAATAAAATTACAGCATATGTATTTAATTGCATGAGAAAGCTCTGGAATGATAAAAACTACTAACAGTGATTACTGCATACATATATGTGTAGAGAGAAGGAAGGGCAAAAACAGGTAGATAAGGCAAGGAATGGGAGAGAATAAGACTTCATTTTAGATAAATATAAAAAAAGTACACACTCATACTTGAACCTGTTATCTAAAACATTGCCAAACCAACCTCAAGGGGGCAGTATTTATGCCTGCAGGTATCTCCATCATTCGAATGAACAAGAAGCCTTAGACACTCCTTTCTTTTCTCTGTCTAAAGCTCTTCCAGCTTGTGAATACCCCCTGTATTGCTTCAGTTCATGATCTATTACAGAACTCTACCTTTTTAGCAAATGCATGAACACACATCAAATACTACTTTGTTTCATAGTTTAAGGTAAGTACAGAACTCACAGGTGCCGCTGCTAGCTCCTCAGTGAGGTTCTGGGTCTTACTTGCCTTCTCTGTATCGGGCACTGTTCTGCACGTACTGTGCATCTTCACAATGTCCATATAGGGAGGCATTAATCTAATGCCCATTTGCACACAAGGGGAGTGGCAAAAAGGAAGGGCGAAGGTAAAATATCAGGTGGTGAATCTGTGCTTCTGTGCTCCAGGATCTGCTTAGAAGCACAACCTTCTGCTATCTACTTATATTCCTGGAAATGCATAAAAAAAAAAAAAAAACCAAACCCAAACCCTATATCCTTGTGCCAGCATCACAAACAGCAGGGGAGATCGAAACATAGTTAAAACCTTATAGATATCACAAAAGGTGGATTCAAAAAGTGTTTTGAGTACAATAATCACTTTTTCTATTACCTTCTTTTGGGATATTACATTATTTTTTGGGTAAGGAGAGAGCCACGCTTGGTGTTCAGGGCTCATTCCTATTCTGCCCTCAGGGCATACCCCTGAGCTCAGGGAACTATATATGGTGTAGGGGCTTGAACTGGGATTGGATGTGTGGAAGGCAAGTATCCTACTCACTCCAGTCTGGTATTCCATTCTTAAAATTAAAAATGACGATTCCCCATATGCAGAAATGAATAACTCTTACCTCTTTGGATACAAAGGAATAAAAACATCATCTTCTATTGCCTTCTTCATTCTTGAAATGATGGAGTTAATTAAATCCTATCATTAAACATTTAAGAGCATCAGTGAGAGTTGTAAGTGGAATTATATTTAACCCCCCAAATGTAATTGTAACAAAAAGAATCAGATGTTAAAATAATCACTGGTTAGGACTATGAGCACAGCTGTATATTTTCACTGCCCTGCAGAATTTTACTGCAAAAATACTACTGACAGGGCATTTAGGGAGTTTCTAGTTTGGGCATCTAGTATTATGTTCCAAAAAAGTTCTCGTACAAGTCTTTTATTTCGCATAAATTTCTAATGGGCATGTATGTAGAAAGTATCGACATGCTAGACTTGATGTTAAGTGGATGGATCTGGAGGAAATCATGAGAGGGGGCAGCAAGCCATAGGGAGAGGCAGTGATCAAGGATGCTCTCTCTCACATGCGGGACATAAAGAATCAGGGAAGGGAGTAACTAATGGCAAAGGAACAGAACTTGAGAACTGGTCTACAGAACCAAGCTTAGCTAGTCCCAACTGCAAACAGCAGCCCGATTGCAAATGCCTACCGCAGGGGCTAGGGTGCATGTCTTACAACCGCCAGCCTGAGCTGGGGGCTGTAGATGTGACCCCAGCCCCAGTGCTGCGGGGTCAGCCAGGCACCTGAGGCCCAAAGCAGTGCTGAACTGAACTGCTGCCAGCTGGTCTGGCACTGTTTGGGAGGCCAAACCCAAATACGGGACAGTGAACAAAGTCTGGACCAAAATATTTAGTCACAGGCATATAGAAGATACTCTGTTTTTATCTTCCTACCAGAGATAAGGACATATAGTGGCATACATGTGTCATATAATACAAAGCGATAGCACAGTGGTAGGGTGTTTGCCTTGCGTGCAGCCAGCCTGGCCGAGCCAGGTTCGATTCCTCCGCCCCTCTCGGAGAGCCCAGCAAGCTACCAAGAGTATCTCGCCCGCACGGCAAAGCCTGACAAACTCCCCGTAACGTATTCAATATGCCAAACACAGTAACAAGTCTCAAAAAATGGAGATGTTACTCAGCCCGCTTGAGCAAATCGATGAACAATGGGAGGACAGTGAGATTTGCAGGTAAAAGCCAAAAGCCAACCAGATGAGGTCAGTCCAATCCTAGTTTCTTAAACTGTGGGTCATGATCTCCACTGAACTTTGCGGTTGCTTTAAAATGTATCCCGTTATGAATTATTATCAGTGAATGTCTGATTTATGTATTTAATTTATGTACTTATATGGCAGGGTAAGAGTTCTTGGGAAAGGGTGAAAGGGTGTCCCAAGTGGAAAAGAAGTTCTAAACTAAATAACTTACTGGGTCCATACTCAAAATGTTGGTTTATATCCTTCCCACATAACAAACCCTCTCATTTCTATTATCATCTAGCTCATTGACTATGGCTCCAGAAACTATAATAATAAATTTAAATACATATTGGCTGATAATCTGGATCTGAAACAAGCATAGTAGCAGTTATCACTATCCTAATAAGTTTAATCCCCACTCCCCAAAAGCATCCACTAAATATTTTATAAGCCATGCTAACATTTATATGTCTTATACTAGCTATCATTATTAATGTAACACTCTGGTCAATAAAAATCACACACATTTTTAGATCTAACAGCATTCTTAATAACAATAGCCTGTGTCATAAAACTTGGACTGTACCCATTCCACTTCTTATTTCATTTAAGATTACATGTTCTGGGGCTAGAGCAGTAGAACAGCAGGTAGGGCGTTTGCCTTGCATGCAGCCGACCTGGGTTTGATTCTCAGCATCCCATAAGGTCCCCCAAGCACCGCTAGGAGTAATTCCTGAGTGCAGAGCCAGGAATAACTCCTGTGCCTTGCCAGGTGTGACCCCCCCCCCCCCAAAAAATTATATATTTCAAGAAGGCAGACCCAAACCACAGCCCTCCTTTCCTGCTTCTAGCCTTCATTATAGCAATTTCAAGGGCTAAAAGTCATCTGGATATAAATATGATAAACTGTGTTTCCTTGGTTTTTAACCATCTTAGTTCTTCTATCCTAAGTACTTAGTCTTTCAGCTTCTTTCATTTTCTTAAGGCTCATATAAACTAGTTTACTAATGTAATTGCATGTATATGTAGGATTCTCAATAAACAGAATAGTAAAAAAGCAGAGTAGCACTGTAGCACTGTCCTCCTGTTGTTCATCAATTTGCTCGAGCGGGCACCAGTAATGTCTCACAACAAATTGTGAGACTTGTTGTTACTGTTTTTGGCATATCGAGCTTGCCAGGCTTTGCTGTGTGGGTGATATACTCCCGGCAGCTTGTCAGGCTCTCTGAGTGGGGCAGAGGAATCAAACCCAGGTCGGCCGTGTGCAAGACAAACGCCTTACCCGCTGTGCTACCACTCCAGCCCAAAAAAGCAGAGTACCATAATAAAATAAGGTTCAACAGTCTACCACCAAGCCTCTATAAAAAGTTCTTCTTTATGTCTTATGTTCAAAAAAACTCGATCCTAGATCAGGTTAGATGGAACTCTATTATTACTAAACTTCAACTTCCTAGAGACAACTGCTCTTAACTCCAGCAGATTATAAGTGACCAGTTACTATAATGATGATAAAACTAATTTTAAGATCATTGTTAAAGCAAAGTCAGAATGCCACTAGACTTTTATTGAAAGGACAAAGGTAATGATTCTTTTGTTTTTCCCTTCTAGATGGAATGATTTTCATTAATGTCTTTATTCCTGTTCAGAATGTTAGAATGAATATTTACAAATAAAAGATGGCTGACTGGAACATGAGATCATAAGCAAGACCTCTGAGCAAAGAAACAGCTGAAGAGAATGAAAGTAATAATATGGGCCTTATTACATGTATATTCATTCTTTAATTAATGATTCTATTAGATGGTTCAAAAATATCAAGGCATATTTTTTCATCTTAAAGGAAAGAGTCATAAATCTAAATATATTTTTCCTCAAAGCTTTCCTCATAACTATGCCATGTGCATATTTTGTAAACAAGGGTTTCTAATAAAATCATATTCACTTCTAAACAAATAAAGAAATTAATAACTCCAGATATTATTACCTGTTTGCCTTTATTAACTTCATTTTCACAAGTGGAATGTTCCTCAAGAATCATTCTGCAATGCATTATTAAACTGGCCGTCTGTGAGGTTGACAAAGGATCCCATATGAATTCTACAAAGTCTGAAACAAAATTTCCATGGAACACAAGTTATTTAAACTGCTCTGCTTATCACACATAAACACTTCCTCCTCATGTGATTGAAAACCTGCTGTCAATCATAACCATTATGCATTTGCTTATATCATTCTTTTCCATGTCTTTTGGGGGCTTTGTTGAAGTTGGCTTGCTAAATGACCAACTTGTCACCAAGTCTGTGAGAATGACAATACAGCTCAAGTTCAAGTGTAATATACTGGGAATCCACTCGGGGCTCCCTCCCATAATCTGGGAGTGGCTCTGCCTTACTCTCCCCTTCATTTCTGTTTCCCGAAAAACAGTCTTTAAAAAAACATGTAATATACTTTTAATTCATCATCATTAAACTCCAGGGAGCCACTAAATGCTGCCCCAAAACCATTCATTTGAGGGACTGTTTAATTATAAGTGAAGCACTTGAGTTTTCAAGAAAGGACTGAAAGGAGGCATATACGTTCTACTTGTATGTCTACATACATTCCACATTGTCGGTATATAAGCTCCTTATTGAAAATAGTAACTTTGTGATATAACCTATCACCACATTTCAAATTACGCTGGGAGAAATTTCAAGGTTTAATCGGGTTGGCTAGGAAGCAATATAAAGCTGGCGGCTTCATCTTAACAGAAATACTTTGGAGACTTTATTGTCAAGCTCTATTCTCAGAGACACAGACCCTTATCAACCCTAATTTTAAGTAAACCAAGGCTCAGACTGAAGCACAAATGCTAAGTGTTTCTCAGTGCCAGAGGCAGATGTCAGGGAACCAGAGTCCTGTATGGGACTTGGGGGTTGTTCCCGGTGGTGCTCTTGGAATCATGTTGTAATGTGGATTCAATCCAGTCATCCTGCATGCAAAGAACACACAAGATAGCCTTTCTCTCTTTTTTTTTCTTTTTTGAGGGAAATAAACAAAAGAAACACTGGACAAAAGTTAAGGGAAAAATTAAAAACATAAAATAGGAAATGGGGATAGCCACTAACAAATGACTCAGGGGTTATAAAAGCAACGATAATATCACAATACTAAAAGGCTGAGAGTATCAGCCGTGTGGTAAATGAATATTCCATAAGCATTTGTCAAGCAACTTAGATTCCAAATGTTGATTTTTATTATTGCATTTTGCATTAAATATATATCTAAAAAGATGAATAAACTCTGCCAAAGAGAATTGAATTTTATCAAGATGATAAAGCAGTACCTGTAAGTCGAGGAACAACTGTCTTGTTCAAGATAGTAGATAAGATTTTCCTATCAGAATTATTTTCCTGCTTTGAATCCATATTGCTATCGATATACTCTTCAACAGATGTGAACCAGGTCATCTGTTTTAAACCTATGGAATCAAACTTATAAATAAAATTATCAAAGTTATAAGCAAATTCTCATAAACATAAGTTCTATTTAAAAATATTTAACCTTTTCAGTAATTATCAGGGCTTTTCTAAGGGCAAAAGGAGAATAACTGTTTAATTCCATGTAAACAACAGTAGACCACCAAGGTAAGACAGGACGACCAAGCCATCCAAACATGGAGTTGCTCAGGGATGACTCCTGATTCTGTACTCAGGGATGACTTTCAGTGCTAACAGGGGGACCATATGTGATGCTGAGGAGAGAATCTAGCTTGGCCCATGAAAGGGAAGTACCTTACCTCTAATATTATCCCTCTGGCCCACAGCATTTTATTGATTCTTCCTTTATAACACTGTTTCTAACCTACTCCTTTCGCCTTTTCCTTTGGCATTATCAACCTAGAAAAGTTACTTTACATCTAGAATCTGAACTATAGTAATAGCCTTCCTAATATGTATCTTCATTTTCTCTCTCTTCCTTAAAGCTAATCTTCTACTCAAGTTTCCTAAAACAATACTTTTATCATGTTACTCCTCCATTGTTTAATAAACAATTTCACCTTTCTTAATTTAAGATTGGATATTCTTATTCTTCCCTAAGCACTGCTATGAAATATGGTTCCCTTTCTTTATTCTCCTCTAAAACCCTATATACCATGCATATTGTCATTTAAATTCCTCTTCCTACTCAATGTAGTTTCCCTAACCAACTCTTTCCAAGATGTCATCTCCAATCTCTAGGCCCTTAGAATAAGGTGTCTGTTTTTTTCCCCTATAGATCAAATCTTAGAATCAAATCTTAATCAAATCAGATCAAATCTTAGAATATAATGTTTTACTATTTTGAGTGATCTTAAATTCATCTATGATAACAGAGGAAGTGAAAAAAAGGTTGCGATTTACTGATGTTTCATATCACCTTGCTTTAAAAATTAAGTGAGAATCAAGAATAGAAAAACACTAATTTGGGCTCGGGTTTTTTTTTTTTTCTTTTTGGGTCACATCTGGCGATGCACAGGGGTTAATCCTGGCTCTGCACTCAGGAATTACTCCTGGCGGTGCTCAGGGGATCATATGGGATGCTGGGAATTGAACCCAGGTCGGCTGCGTACAAGGCAGCCTGTGCTATTGCTCCAGCCCCTGGACTTTGGTTTTAAAGGTGATAATAATATTTTATTATTTATTCATTTGTTTTTTGGGCCACACCCTGCTATGCTACAGGATTCACCGTGCTGGGGATTAAACCCCAGGTTGGTTGCATGCTAGACAGGCACCTAACCTGCAGTACTGTCTCTCTGGCCCTGAATTGAAGCACTTCATGGTTAAACTGGGTGAACAGAGTAATTTAGAAACCCAATATCACCAAGACTTTTTTTGTTCACACATTAAACTTATTTACCTTAAGAGGATTCCAATCAATCAGCTGAACTCGTATTAGGGGACTTAAGAGCTTTGGAATGTATAAACCAATGTAAGCTTCATTGTAAGAATCAGGAAACTTTTCTCGCCATTGCTGAAATTTCAATAGAATATTCTGGACATTACAAAAATCATCATGCACATCTTCAAAAATTTTCTTACGATCCTGTAAAACATCACCTGTGAATAAAATGAGTCACTGTGTATTATGCAGTTGTGTATGTTGACAGGGATCAAACCCAGTTCTTCATGCAAGGCATATGCTTTACCACTGAACCACATCTATGACCTTTATAGTATGCATTTTGTGAAACTGAAGTTACTTTCTATAAAGTTGTTGCACTATAGCACTGTCCTCCCATTGCTCATTGATTTGCTCGAGCTGGGCCCAGTAATGTCTCCATTTTGAGACTTGTTACTGTGTTTGGCTTATCGAATACATCATGGGTAGCTTGCCAGGCTTTGCTGTGCGGGCGAGATACTCTCGGTAGCTTGCTGCGCTCTCTGAGAGGGGCGGAGGAATCGAACCCGGCTTGGCCAGGCTGGCTGCACACAAGGTAAACGCCCTGCCACTGTGCTATCGCTCCTATAAAGTTATGTATGATAATGTACTCAGATACACTGCAAACTTATTTTTTAATATTAATATTTCATTTTAACTTAAAAATCACTGTAAGTAATAATAGTATTACTACGCTAATAAAATCTGTTTAAGTCCCGCCAAAATGTAATCATCAAAGAATCCCTACAAGACAGGGGTTACCTATTTACTGATGAAAACCAAGCAAATAATATCAAATTTTGAAAGGGGAAGAATATACCTAACATTACACAGAATACAGATTTTTTTTGATTACAAGTCATTTTGACTCAAAGCCTATACCGTGTACTGAATACATTTTAGGGGCTGAGGATTTGGCTAGGTAGTAGAAAGCAATCCTTGAACGTGTGAGGCCCTGGGTTTGATCCTCAGCAAAAAACAACAACAAAAAAATAAATTAAAAAAAGCAAAACTCCACCTATATATAACTTACCTTTTCATAATGCTAAAATAGCATTACTAAATTCAAAAGGGTTTTAAATGGAAAACAATGGAGAGTAAGCAGCTGAGAAATGAAATAAAATACTTAAGGAAAACCTATAGAGATAGAGACGTACTCAATGTCTCTCCCTCCATTTTATCAGAGGTAGAAAAGTGTCAAAAGGGAGGGACAGGTATCTGTTCTTTTTTTACTGAAATTTCCCCACTATTCTTATGTATTTAAAGGAACTAATAGCATAGAATTTCCCACCATTTTAACCTGTCAAATCAAGACACAATGGAATCTGGGTAGAGACCTTGGCTTTCGTTGAAGTCCATCATGTCCGCTGAAGACAGTTCATCATCACTAGATGTACCTTCCTGATGATTACAATTCCCAGAAATTGCCCTTGCTTGTCTTCTTCCTTCCCTGTATTTTGTAACAAAACAAGTTTAAAGTCAGCACCTGATGAAAACAGATACTTTAAAACAAAACTAAAAGGATACCAAAAAAAAAAATCCAAAAATCCATCCTAGCAGAACATAATTTTAAGTTACATTTTAACTTCATTAATCTGAACTGGAGTTTTGCCCTCCCGTCTTTTTGCCCTTTGTTTCCCCCACCCTCGCCCCGACCTCAGTTCTGCTCCACACAAGAAGTGCTCGGAGTTTACTCTGAGCTCTGTGCGGTGGTGACCATGTGTTATGCGGGGGATCAGACCCTATCAGCCACGTGCAAGGCAAATGCCCTCTCTGCTATACTATATCCAGCTCCATCCCTTCCTTTTTCTTATAAGACATTCAATATAGAGTTTTTGATGAGAGATAATGTGATTATGATTGGCTTCTACTTATAAAAAAAATTTCCTTCCTGATAAATGTCCTGGTACCCATTCGTTCTGACTGGTCAAGGACATCAGAGTGACTTTAAAACTCGGGAGTCAGAACTTGGTTTAAAATGCTCAAGAGGGGCTGGAGTGATAGATAGTACATTAGGTAAGGTGTGTGCTTTGTATGCGGCTGACCAGGGCTCAATCCCCGGCATCCCGTATGGTCCCTCAAGCACTGCCAGGAGCAATTCCTGAGTACAGAGCCAGGAAGAACCACTGAGTATCGCTAGGTGTGACCCAAAAAGCAAATATAAAAAATAAAATAAAATGCTCGAGAATTAAAATGTTAGGCTATGATTACTTATATTAACTACACAGAAATAATATTAACAATTAATTATAATTCAGCACCTTCACTATATAAATATGATTGTCCGTATGGCAATGTGGACAATTATACTTAAATAGTGAAAGTACTTGCCCAATGTTGCTTTATGTCTTCACTTTATCTGTATACCTTCGAGATTCAATCTCTTCTAAAATGCACTGAGTTTTTTCATCTATAGTAAGGCTTCCATTTGCTGATGCCTCAGTCTTGCCTGTTAATGAAAGGAATTTCATACTGATAATTCACACAGAAAGAAAAACACTTTGAAAGCAAAAGTTATATCTTAAGTACACACACACACACACACACACACACACACACACACATATTTACATATATGTATCTATATAAGTACAGATAAACTATACTTAAATTGTGTATTTTATTCATGCAGTGAAATTACTTGAAATCCTCATCACATTACATTAACAAACGCTGAGTTTGTTAGCCTAGGAAAATGTACCTTGGCTGATGATTACTATTCAGCATTTGAAAACAGTAACAAAACTTTAAGTTTTTCTCCACACTCACTCTTTTGCATCAGTTTTAACTAATTAACAATTTAATTCATTTAAAAATTTAATTTGACAGCCATATATTTTTATCTCAAATGTTAAAACTCTAATTTTAATTTTTTGTATTATACTTAAGACATTGATGCCTTAGTTCTAAATACTTGAGGCTTAATGGTGGAGTAGATGAAAAGTTAGTGGAGAAATGTATAAAAAGAATTTTTAAAATACACCTAGCTGGTATTTTAGCTTAACAATCATAACTGAACATGAAAAACACTAACGTGATAACTGCTGTAAATATGCTGATTCATGTTTTAATTCATCTTGTCTGCGTTTTGTAAAGATCATAGCTTGCTTAAGAAGGAGCGAGTGCATGGATGATTCTGTTTCTTGGATTCTGACAATCTGAAACATAAATGAGCAAAATTCTGGGGTTCATCAATAATGTCTGATAAAAATTAGTACTTATAAACATAGGCATATACTCAATTCTCATAAAAGCATTTTGAGTACTATGACAACTCATTGAAAAAACATCTAATAGACATACCTACTAATACTTCCAACATTAAAAACTTATTGTGCTAGATATAGAGATAAGTTAACAAGCAAAAAAATGGACTGGAGTGAAGAACATGAATAAGAATGGATAAAAGAAATGATTTTTTTGTTGAGACGTAAGAGGAGGAGAAAATGCGGTTTGCCACTCTTTTCACAGGCCAAGGGGGCATTTTCTGGGGGTGAGGAGATTGCCCAAAGGGCGGGAGCATATTCAGAAGCCCTGTGTTTGATCCACTGCGGAGCACAGTACCCTGAGCACAGCCCAAAAGCCAAAAAGTACCAAACAGCGGTTAAAACAACAGGGTTCTGAAGAAGGCAGCTAACTTTGTAGTAACATTTTAAATGTAAATAAAAATTATAAAGGAAATAGAGTATATCTGTTGAATGGGTAGTCTGTTTTCAATGTAAGGATGTGTATGTATAAAAGAAAAAAAACATCTGATTACAAAAAATTTTAAAGCACTAGTGTCAAAAGAACACTGCAAACAGACAAAAACCAGAAAGGAAGCCTATAGTATTAAATGAATCAATATGGTCAGGAACTTAGCTCAGCTACAGAGTACTTGCCTAGCATGTGTGAGTCCCAGGGTTCAAGCCTTAGCATTATAAAATAGCACTGTAGCACTGTCCTCCTGTTGTTCATCAATTTGCTCGAGCGGGCACCAGTAACGTCTCCATTGTGAGACTTTCTGTTCCTTTGTTTGGCGTATCCAATACGCCACGGGGAGCTTGCCAGGCTCTACCGTGTGGGCGGGATACTCTCAGTAACTTGCCGGGCTCTCAAAGAGGGATGGAAGAATTGAACCCTGACCAGCCACATGCAAGGCAAACATCCCACCCCTACAAATTAATCAAAATTAAATAAAGAACTGTTAATCATATGATGAGGAGGGGAGAGGTGAAAGGGAAAGAAACCATCACTGTGAACCAAAGCTGGTAGGTAATACCGTAAAGAAAGGGAAGAAAAAAAGAACATTTATATGTAGTTAAAGAATTTTTTTTTTGAGATCAAGTAAATAAATAAAAAAAATCATTTTTAATACAGCAAATAAATAAAAGTAAAACTGGCATATTCTTTCTAGAAAATAATTTGGCAATGGTTCCTAAGCCTTAAAAATATTTAGCTTAGGTGGGGTATGGTGCCGCCAGCAGGTCAATCTGTACCTGTAAGGCGAGTGCATCAGCAGCCTGATGGCACCGTCAGACTTTCAGATACCCCAAAATTGCTGCTGTGCCTTTGGCCAGACCCCAAAAACTTGGGGCAAAGTTTACCAAAAAAGTAAATGGCCAAAAGTTAGGTATGTGGGAGACACACCCACAAACCACCTCCGGCTCAGCTATATAATTGGAGGCAGGGCCTCTCTGGTTCCTGATCAAACTGTTTAATGGCCATGATTCCAGAGACTCAGAAGCGAATCTCAGAACACAAAGGCTTTTGGCAGAAATGCGTCCTGTTCCTGCAGTAGGTTACTGGCGCTGGGCTACTCCAGGTGAGAATAGGTTTTGTGCCTTGGCCTGTTCCCCCTGGTAGCCCGGTGACCGCCATCCTCCAGAGGCCACTGGACAGTCAGGTTTGTGCCTGCAGTGACGAGACAGGTGGGGCCTCACCAGATAGGGGTGGACCCGGCCCCTTCCTCCCCATCCCAACAAGATCCCGAGTCGCCTCCTAAAAAACGGCCTCTCTGGCTCCTGATCAATCTGCTTAATGGCCATGATCCCAGAGACTCAGAAACAAATCTCGAAACCCAGCGGCTTTTGACAGAAATGCATCTGGATCGCACACAAGGTGGCTGCCGCCTCAGAGTTTATTGGAAAGCCAGGTATGAGACAGGGCAACGCAGTCTCATGGGAAAGGGGATGGTACTGGCTCGTCCTTCATGCCCTACCGAGGTCATGAGTTGCCCCCCACGAGTGGCTCTCTGGTATGGCCATGGCTCCAGAGGCAAAAGGACTTAATCCAGAGCCCGGCAGCTCGCGGCAGAAAAGTGAATGGACCATGCGTTAAACTACGTTGCCATGCCTCCCCGAGAGGGAAAAGGGTGTTGCTCCCTTCCGCCTCCCCCCGCCCCCACTTAAAAAAGATGTCTATTACTTATAATTAGAGAAATGCATATTAAAACTACCATGAAATATAAAAAAAATATTAGCTTAAGGTGGGAGTCATACTACAGCAGGTAGGGTGTTTGGCTTGCATGCAACCAACCTGGGTTCAATCCCCGACATCCCATATAGTTCCCCAAGCACTGTTGGGAGTACCAGGAGTAATTCCTGAGTGCAGAGCCAGGAGTAACCCCTGAGTATCATCGCTGGGTGTGACCCAAAAAGGCAAAAAAAAAAAAAAATAGCTTACTGACAGCACTTTAGCAGTTCACTTTCTAGGGGATTTTTGCTGAACATACTTTTAAAAAATTATACATTTATTGAGGTAAAACCAGCTTACAAGAATAACTGTTAAAGGGTCAGGATGTGAATTACTGGGAGAGCACATGCTTTCCATGCCTGAGGTTCAATCCCTGACACGACACAAAAGGGCAAACATATGGCTCTCAACACATATGGTTTCTCAAATACTACATGCAGCCACCAATAATATGTCAAGAACCGCCCATCCCCACCAAAGGTCATAAGACCCTTTCTTCTCACTCTCCCACAGATATATATTTATAGCACTGTAGCACTGTCCTCCCACTGTTCATCGATTTGCTTGAGCGGGCACCAGTAATGTCTCCATTGTGAGACTTGTTGTTACTGTGTTTGGCACATGGAATACGTCACGGGGAGCTTGCCAGGCTTTGCTGTGCAGGCAGAATACTCTCAGTAGCCTGCTGGGCTTTCCAAGAGGGGCAAAGGAATTGAACCTGATTCGGCCTTGTGCAAGGCAAACACCCTACCCACTATGTTATCGCTCTGGCCCATATATTTATACATATAAAATATATAAGAATATATGATAGAAATATATAAAAATATAAACATATAATATATATTTTAAAAAGTTAAGAAACTTTATGCCACTTATAATACTAACAAAATAAAAAAATCCTAATTGCCCAATATTAAGGGAATATTCAGTACCATAAATATGTTAACAAATATGTGAAGGAAAAGTGAAGTATTGAGTTGTGGCATTTAGGTTTCCAAAATATTGCATGTTAAGATTTTTGTATGAAGAGAAAAAGATGAGTATTTATAACTATGTACCTTTTCATTAAGACAGTCGATTAAATTTTCCACATAAGTTTTCATGCTTTTATAGAATTTAAAATTTAGGGCTTGAGTTGATGAAGTCTCTAGATTCTGGATGGCATTTTTTGAGCTCTTGAGGTCTTCTACATATTTTTCATATTCCCTCAGGTGTGCACGATGAGTATCCCGTATTAGTGTTAATCTACATAAAGAGAATAATAAAAATTGCTTTGTCAACCTTTATTCTAGTGAATACCAACTTACAAAATTTTTCAAGTAAGTATAAGGATCATTAAGGCAATTGATGATTACATAAACCTGGGCTTATCAGACTTGCTGGGCAAAGCAGAGTCTCGCAGCGAAAGCAGTTTCCAAGGGGAAAGGAAGAGAGGGCACTCTATTCAGAGAGAGAGGGACAGACTTATCAGGATTTATGAACTAGGTGAGTTGCTAGAACAGTGACTATCTATCTGAACAGGAGCCTGTGCAGTCACTGCTAGATCAGACTGTTAAATTTTTTTTGATAATAAGTATTTGATAATAAACAATAGTCCAGCGGGGAGGGCGTTTGCTTGCTTGTGGCCGACCCAGGCTGGATCCCCAGCATCCCATATGGTCTCCCGAGCACTGCCAGGAGTGATTCCTGAGTGCAGAGCCAGAAGTAACCCCTGTGCAGTGTAAAGTGTGACCCAAAAAAGCCCCCCCCCCCCGCAAAAAAAAAGTATTTGAGGGCCAGAAAGATAATACAAGAGGAAGTAATGCACCTCTCTTGCATACAGCTGGCCCTGGTTCCAATCACTTGGCAATCTGAATATGCTATCCCATTCCTTCCTGGCAATGTTTTTGGTGAGAAATCTAATGATAAATCTTGTATTTGATGAGGTACTGTTAGGTCTGTTTTCAAAATTCCCATTTGTCTTTCAGCCGTCTGATTATGTTTCTTTGAATTCATAATCATTGGAGTCCTTTAGTATTCTTAGTATTCCTTTAATCTGGATGCCTTGTTCCTTCTTTGCTTGGGAAGTTATTAGTCTTTATAAGCTCGCTTCCATTCTATCTTCCTTTATAAGTTCGCTTCCTTTATAAGCTCGCTTCCATTCTATCTTCTACTTGGATACCTAGGATATAAATATTGTTCTGCTTGATGGGGAGTGATACATCCCTTGGGCTTTCTCCCCCCTGCCCCCACCCCTGGCTTTACAATATCAAATAAGAAGTCTTCAAAACAAAAAACACTGTCCTCCCGTTCCTCATCGATTTGCTTGAGTGGGCCCAGTAACGTCTCCATTTTTTTTGAGACTTGTTACTTTGTTTGGCATATTGAGTACATTACAGGTAGCTTGCCAGGCTTTGCCGCACGGCAAGAGATACCCTCGGTAGACTTGCCGGGCTCTCCGAGAGGGGCGTAGGAATCGAACCCGGCTTGGCCGGGCTGGCTGTATGCAAGGTAAACACCCTACTGCTGTGCTATCACTCCAGCCCAAGAAGTCTTCAAGCTCATTTTTTCTTGGATTTGACCAAGTCTGACATCAAGTGCCTCAAGTAAATTTTTCAGAGAAGTTGTTATATTCTTCAGCTCCAGAATCTGTTTAGTTCTTTTTTCTGATTTCCACATTTTTGTTGATGCTTTGTTCAGGTACTCTTTTTTTTTTTTCTGATTTTGATGGTCTATATTCTATTGTATATAGAGCACTGAGTTTAAGTTACAGTTGTATAGTTACAATCGAGTTTGAGAGGATGTTATTAATTCACTGAGCCAATTCATAAACCTTTGCTTCTTTAACATTGGTTCTGCGGATTTCTTTTGTTCATTTAGGGTCATGCTTCGTGGTGTCTTTGTTACTTGCTGTGTTATATGCAATCGGGAATGCATGCAACAGAGAGTTCCATCAGTCTCCCTGATGGAAATTCTGGGGGGGGTGGGGGGGAGGGTAGATGAGATTGTGGCTCTCACCTTTTATACAGATGCAGCTTCTTTGGGTTCCTGTAATTTCCACATTAAAGAGATTTGTGGCTTTAGTTTTCCAGATGGAGTGATTAACTTCCTCCGATGTTGGTCAGAGATTCTGCAGGCCTCCCAGCTCAGCAATAAGCCACTGAGTTTTCCTTTGTTCTCTGCCTAGCCAGCTATCTCTAGATGTGTGATGGTTCTAATCTGAGTTCAGATAAGGTCAAGCCCCAGGCAGTTTGTGAAAGCTTGCAATGTGTGTGTGAATCTATTTTCCACTCTTCTCTTGCCTAAGCAATAAAAAAAAAAGTTGTTTTCTTTTTCTCTTTTCAATCAAAAGGTATGTGGGAGGAGCTAATGCCATTGAAATAAAATTATTTTTCTTACCTATTTCCAGTCTGGCTAGTCCTGGTTTTCCCCATGACTGTGATCTCAGGTGTGATTCTTGGAGTTCTCAAAAGGCTTTAGAGAATCTATTGCTAAATTAGAGGCTCTAGGCAGGCAGAGGGTGAGAGGGTTGTGGATCTGACGCTTCCTATTTTGTCATTTTTTTTTAAAAAAAATCACTCTCACTCTCTACATGGAGTGATATCTGCAGAATATCTTTGTTTATTAAAGGCAATTTAACAATGCAGAAAAATTCTCATGACCATACTAAGTCAAAATAAAACAAAAATGCAAAATTTGATAATCGATGGTTTTTTAACCATGGATACCTATTACAAATTAAAAACATATGCATGAAAAAAGGCAATCTGTTGTGTCATACATTAGAACAGTTGATGCTATTTTTCCTACAAACATTTAATAATGACGTTTGCATACAATAACTATATAGACATAGTGTCGATTTACTTTAGTATTAAACATCTAGGGTTAATGTAATAGTAAATGAACATCACTTACCTTGTATTTATCTGCTTCTTTATAAGTTCCAAATTTGCTGGTGGAAATGAAATGGAAGTATCAAACTTCTTCACCACTTGAGGTTTACTCCTGCGGGAAAGATCCATGTCTCGTCCCTAAAAAGTGTGAAATTTTTTGTTTTCAACATTCATTTATCTTGTGAATATTGGTAACATAAAAGGATTTTGGATACACCATGATCTTACCAGTTAAATTCCATGCCTCTGAAAAATTTCATAATTCTAGTGTTTTTAAAAAAAAATCTGTTTTAAAGCTTGAAATTTTTAATTGACATGCAAAACGCAAATCTAAATAAAACCTTCTATTTCACAAATGTCTGGCTTTCAAGTTATTGTTTCTTAAAATGGGGCCACAAAAATACATAAGTATGACACCTGGCAGTGCTTGATGATGAAGCCATTTGATGGCTAACAGTGCTCAGGGCCTCCTTGTCCATAAGTGATGTGGCTCCCCTCAGGGCACCAGGCTTACACTGAGAGGGAGAGATGCAACACTCAGTATTGAATATGGACCAAACCCAGCCACAGGAAAAGAAATTTTCTTCAATTTTTTTTATTTTTTGCAAATAGCCATAATGTCATTAGGACATAAATTTTATTAAGTTTTTGAAACAAATAGAACAATTAGACACACTTTTGGTCTAGAGGGCACTAAGATAAAAATTACTGAAATATTAAGAGCTCCATGAGTGACATACCATGGGAATTTCTGACGTACACTATAATTATAATTAAACACATACATCAAATAAAAAGGCTTTATGCCAATTCAAGCAGTAAGAGTAAGGACTACAGCATGTTTTTCCTTGATGTATTTTTTTTACATGCAATTGCTATGCTGAATCTGCTAATAGGAAACAAACTGAGTCTTATTTATTTTGTTTTATGGGCCACACCCAGTTGGTGCTCAGGGTTTACCCCTGGCTCTGCATTCAGGGATTACTCCTAGTAAAATTCGGGAACTCTTAATAAACTATTTGTTTGGGGCTGGAGCGATAGGGCAGCGGGTAGGGCGTCTGCCTTGCACGCTGCCCCCCGGGTTCGATTCCCAGCATCCCACATGGACCCCTGGGCACCCCTGGGCACACTCTCAGCCGTGCTGTTCACTGACTATCCACTGAACCCTGGTCAGCTCTTCATTTTCCTGTCCACACAGTCCTGACTTCAGAAATCATTGGAATCTCCGCTACAGAATGTTCCATTCATTCACTGCGAATCTGGAATTCATCTGACTCTCCACTCCAGGCAGGTTTTCCTTACACCACTTGTGAATGTCCAAGTAAACCTATGCTGGTTTTCAGGAGTGATTCCTGAGTGCAAAGCCAGAAGTAACCTGATCATTGGCAGGTGTGACCCGAAAAGCAAAAGAAAACAAAAACAAAAACAAACAAAACCAAAACTATTTGTTCAAACGTCACATTTAAGTACTACTATACAATTTGCATTGTCTGCTATAACTGCATTACAAAATTAAAGATACAAAAATACATGGTTCTGTCAAGTGGTTTATAATATGAGGAAGCTGTGGGAGAAGTCTGGAGAAGAACAAAACCCACATCGTGTACCGAACTGAATGGCGGCCTCTGGAAGAGAAGTTCATGTCCCAGCAACCACAAATCAAATCTTACTCGAATGGGAAAAGGATCTTTGTGGTTATACTAGCAAAACTATCTCAAAATGAAATCATGCTGGATTATCCAACTGGGTCCTAAATCCAGTAGTAAGTGTCCTCCTTGTAAGGTACATGTACAACTAAGGCACGGAGCAGCTAGCCATATCAAAATAAGAAAGGAGATAGAGATAGAGTTAGAGTTGAAGACTCACAAAGCAAGAAACCCACAGGCAACTGTTGAGCGTGGTTTGAAAAACAGATTACCTCTATGATTTTAACTGCTTTCCTCATTTGCTGCTCCTCCCACATATCTTGATTTTCATCATCCTGACTTTCTTCACTTGATTCTTTATTTCTGGTTGCTGGGTTGGGGGAGAGGGGAATGTTGACATATTAAGCATTTTTTTCCATTCTAATTGCAATACTTACACTTATGGGGAGCTTTACAATATGCTAGTTAAATAGTCCTAAACATTTAAATTTATTCTTCACAATTAGTTCTGGGAAGAGGGCACACTAAGATTTTCATTTTCCAAATAAGGAAATGCAAATATCAGGAAATTTAACAATCCAAGCACTGTAGTGGAGAGAAACTTAACAATCTGACACCAGACTCTGCACTCTGAGCACCAAAGTATTTAACTTATAACACTGTCACCTCACATAACAGAATTGCGTTAAAAATCCAAACGCTGTTTTTTCCTTACTCAATGCCACACAAAAATATTTCAACTATTTCTGGGTTTTAAGGAAGCAAAGGGCTCATTCTGAAAAAAAAAAAAAAGAAGAAAGAAATCCGATGAAATATAGATTGTTTATAAGTGAAAAATGTGAAGACAGATCTTTGAAACCCAACAATTACAGGTGAAATTTTCACTAGAGCAGAGAAGATTTTATGACATTTAAAATTTCTGTAGATGCTTTCACATTAAAAAAAATATTTTAAAAGTTGACAGTTAAAGTTGTGAATTTCAATTGTATGATTTTGAGACATTTTACACTCATTTAACCTGTGAAAAAGATAAGGACAGGGGATACAGATATAATACAGTGGGTTGGGTGCTTACTATGCACATAGCTGGCCTGGGTTTGATCCTGGACATGGTCCTCCAAGCTCTGCCAGAAGTGATCCCCAAATGCAGAGCCAGGGGTAAACCCTGAGAACCAGTGAGTGCAAACCAAAAACTGAATTAATAAAAATAAAAGTAGATAAAGGACCAAACATGATAGCCTCTCAGTATCTGTACTGTAAACCATAATGCCCAAAAGTAGGGAGAGAGTATGGGGGAAATTGTCTGCCATGGAGGCAGTGAGAGTGTTGGAAAGGGGGTGAGGGGGTATACTGGGGATACTGGTGGTGGAAAATGTACACTGGTGGAGGGATGGGTGTTCGATCATTGTACGATTGAAACTCAAACATGAAAGCTTTGCAACTATCTCATGGTTATTCAATTAAAAAATAAATAAAAATAAAAACATCAAGGGAAAAAAGAGATGAAAGTTAAGATGACAGTTAAGATATTAGACGTACCTTCTGATAGTAATATTTTGCCACAAACATGTTCTTTCAATTAATTTAATAAACTGGGTCATGTCACTGACCCAATTAATATTCATTAAAAACTGACTTTAGTATTCTTTAGAATATGAGATGCCAAATTATTTTTAGGGGTCTTTATCATATTACAATCTAATGACAAATGCCTTAATCCTCTTTTTATTTTTAATTGCTTTATGGGTGTCACATCCGGATGGGTCAGTGCTCAGGAGAGAACATGTGCTCCCAGGGATCAACCCAGGGTCCGCCACATGCCAGGCAAGCGCCTTGGACCACTGCCCCTCTGTGATCCTGCCTTAATCTGAACAGACGACAAATAAATTAAACACGTACTTGTTTCTTCAGCCATTCTTTGTCTCAGTGTTTGCGGCTTTGGGGTAAATGGGATTCTGTTTTCATGGTCATTGGGCTCACTCTCAGGATCTTCATCACTGCTTTTCTTCATGCTAGAAATGGTGACTGGATGTTTTACCTCCAAAGAAATATAGTCTTCTTGGGTCCTAGCCAATTCACGCTTTCTGCGGGCTGCTTGAATAAAAGCTGCATCAGGGATATCTATTGACAGAAATGAAGAGAAAGACAATGAAAACCAAACAGCAACCCAAATCAATATTCCTCATATTAATAAAAGCACTGCCTTTCTATAATTTGTACTATTTTGATATGAATGTAACAGTGGTTCAAAATCTGTATCAAAGAAGAAAACTTAATAGACATAAAATATTACATAAGTCAAATCTAGAGTCACTAGAAATATACTGTGACTACTCTAATTTATCTTTTAACTTGAATAAAAAAATACCCCACAGAGGCGGAGAATATATTTGCCCACCACTCATCTGAGAAAGGGTTAATACCAAGATATATAAAACAAAATTTAGCAACAACAAAAACTGAAACAATCCCATCAGAACATGGAGAACGAGGTTAGCAGACACTTTCTTGGAAAAGAGAGACAGATGCAGATAGGTATATAAAAGATTCTCTCCACAGAGGGGCAGACATAGAATGATTGCACTCACTTGTGGGACACAAAAAACAATTAGTATCAGACTAATACTGAACGACAGTAGAAACACAGACCAGGAGGATTGGTCCATGGTTCGAAACCTGCCTCAGCTGCTGGGGGAGAAGGCAGTGGGTATCGAGAAGGAATCACTATGGCAATGATAGTTGGAATGATCTTTCTGGCTAAGAACTGCATGCTGAAAGTAGGTAAAGGAATAAACACAATAACCTCTCACTATCTGTCATGGAAACCATAATGCCTAAAAGGGAGGGAGAGATATAGAGAGGGAGAGAGAGGGAAAGGGAGGGAGAGAGAGGAAAAAAAAAGAGAAAGAGAAAGAGAGAGAGAGAGAGAGAGAGAGAGAGAGAAGAAAAGTGTCAGCCATAGAGGCAGACGCAGGCTGGGAAGGGAGTTCATGGGTGGTGGGAGGGAAACTGAGGATATTGGTTGTGGAAAATGTACACTGGTGGAGGGATAGGTGTTGGAACACTGTATGACTGAAACGTAATCATGAACCGTTTTTCAACTGTGTATCTCCTGGTGATTCAATTAAAAAAAAATGCTCTCCATCACCAGGGAAATACAAGTCAAAAATCAATGAGATAGTCATGCCATGTGAGAGTATCACAAACCAAAAAGAACAGAAACAATTGGTGCTGCTGTGGGGGGGGGGGGGGGGGGGGAAGGACCCTCATCGACTGCTGGTAAAAATGTGAACTGGTTCAACTGTTTTGGAAAATAATATGGATACGTCTCAAAAAACTAAGAACTGAACTTCTAGGAATCTGACTCAGGAATCACATTTCCTGACTGCCCCAAGGATCCAAACACACTACTTTGAAAAGACATTTGTGCTCTTGTGTTCACTGCAGCGCTACTTAACATGCCAAGATCTGGAAACAATCCAAGTGCTCAAGAACAGATGAATGGATAGAGAAGTCTGGGTATATACACATAAGGAATATCATTCGAGTATAAAAAAGGATAGAATCATGCACTGTGCTGCTCTGTGAATGGAGGTAGAGGGCATCATGCTGGGAACACAGTCACAAGGAGAAAGATACACAATGATCTCTCATATGAGGGTAACAGAGGCAGTAAAGAGAAATAAATGGCCAAAGGCAACGAGTTGGTCAACAAAGCAAAGCTGATGTGGTGAAGTGGTTAGGGGGATAAGCACTGGTGGAGGGAAGAGCACACTGAGGTGGTAGGTGTGGTGTGGAAGAACGCATGTGTGCAACTATCACTAGCAATATCGTAAGTCATAGTATGTCTGAATAAAAATGGTGAGGAAAAAGTCTTGAAAAAACCTTCCTTACAAACCCTGTCAATCAATCAATAAACAAACAAGAAGTATAGGTTCAAGAGGAGAGGACTCTATCCAGTTCTGACTATAGACAACACCCCACACAGCCGACATGGGCCAAACCCATGATGAATTAATACAGCTAGCACTGGCTTTTCACTAGTAAGAACAAGTGTGTTTTTACTGATTTATGGCTTAATTTCCACATGCTTTACCTGTGGAGTGTGGTCAAATGTCATGCCTCACTGGTAATAATAGCTCCGCTGCAGTGAATTATCTCCAGGTAGATACCTCTACCAGATCATTCTAATAGTTCTGTCCAATTAATGAAAAATAAATGCATTCTTTTCACATCTGTCCTTACACATCACTTCCTCTTTCAGTTTCTGTTCTCCAGATAGCATACTCCCTTCTATTTTCTTACAAGTTTTCAGCTTTCAATTGTTTCTTAAGGTTTTCTTAAAAAAATTTTTTTTCTTTTAAATTTTTTTTGTTGAATGACCATGAGATAGTCCCTTACAAGGCTGTTCATGATTAGGTTTCAGTGATACAGCGTTCCAAGACACATCCATCCACCAGTGTACATTTCCCAGCACCAGTGTCCCCAGGTTCCCTCCCATCACCTCCCTCTGTGCCCCTTCCCCCCACTTCCTGCTGGCTAGCCTGCCTGTATGGCAGACACTGTTATTCTCTCTCTCTCTCTCTCTCTCTCTGGCATTGTGATTTGTGATTTGCAATACAGATACTGAAGGTTATTGTGTATATCCCCTTACCTACTTTTAACACTCAGTTCTTGTCCAGCGCCAGCACCAATGTCCTAAGGTATTTGAAGAATAAATTTTCAATGTGCTGAACAGTCTTGCATTCTCAAACACAATTACAGGGAATAACACTATTCCCTGTCATTCCTGCCTCCAGGGAACTACATGCCAGCAATACTCAGACACCATGACAACATGATAATTAAAATCCATGTCACAGGGGCCAAAGAGATAGTATAGAGTGTAAGGAACTTCCCTTGCATGCAGCTGACCTGGGTTCAAAGCCCAGTACCCTATGTGGTCTCCTGAGCACAGTCAAGAGTGAGTCCTAAGCACAGAGCTCTGAGCATTGTTGAGGGTTGTGAATCAAAAAAAAAGCCATCATGCCACATATTTGCAGACACTGCCCCCTCTCCTTAAGTGGGCACTATTGCCAACTCTTGAGAACAACTGCTTTACACTGTCCTACTCACGAATTTTTCCTAGTACTGGTCAATGCGCTAGCCACATTTGACTCTTCAATACACTATTCACTGTTCAGTATTCAAAATTAGATCAAAATTCAGTACCTTTGTTGTAGTAGCTGCATTTCAAGAATCCATGAGTAACATGTGACAAATGGCTAACATACTGGATGGTAAAAAGACAGAAATCCCTGCATTATGGAAAAGTCTATGGGACAAGGCTACATCTAGAATCTAGATGTAGTTTCTCTGTCAGGGGCCAGTGAAATAGCTCAGCAGGCTGAGTGCACGTTTGATCATTTGATCTTTGACATTTGTACTGTCGCCTGAATTTCGCCAGGAGCAACCTCTGAGCTCAGAGCCTGGTAAAGCTTGCTGAGCACCATCAGATGTGGTTTAAAAAACAAACAAAAAGAATCTTTACTTGTCTATTACTTTTCAATTCTTATTAGTGATTTCATTGCTAAGTCCTTCTATACCTTTTGAACTTGAGTATGAAAAAAAATTACACGATAAAAACAAGGTACTGACTCTTGTTATTTAGTAAGATGCCAAAGAAGTACTTATTTCTATACTATAAGACTTAAAAAACAATTGACTACATTTCATTATAATTTATTTCCTTAATAAACATTTGTATATATTTCAATTCTCGTGGAAGTGGTCTTAGGTGTCCTAAGACTGAAAAGGGAATGCATCACAAAAATATGAACCCTTGAGCTAAAATGCTAAAGTAAAAAGTCAGCGGCTGGAACAACAGCATAGCTTGTACAGTGCTTGCCTTGCAAACTGTTGGGCCAGGTTTGATCCTCAGAATCCCATCTGGTCCCCTGAGCTCCAAGAGGAGTGATCCCTGAGAGTAGAGCCAGGAGTAAGCTCTGAGCACCACTGGGTGTGGGCCCCTGATAGAAAAACCCAATGAAATAAAAGTAACCAGAAACTTTTGATTTTGTGGGCTACAAAGTTTGTCGCAACTTCTGGGGGCTTCTCTAAAGTGGCTACAAACAATACATAACGAGAATGATTGGGTTTATTTTGTGTGTCTGATGTCCAGGATAGAATCCAGATCCCAAGGCATTCGCTTTACCACTGAGCCACAGTGCCAGCTACTGTATTTTAATAAAACTTTATTAAAAAGTTTATTAAAAGCTCAACAGATGGTGAACTAGTATTGACCAACAGATAGTAATTTTCTGACTCTTGAATTGGATTCATCTTTCCAAATTACAAAGAATTACATAAGATTTTCAGTTGGGCCTTTTAAAATAAAGGTATTAAGGAAAAGGAGAAAATTTACCAACCTACTAATGAAAATTCTTCTTCCTCCTGAGAGCTAGAGGTTTTGTTAGGGAAACTCTGATCATCCTTTCTTTCTGAAGAATGAGAAGTTCCGTCCTCATCATCAGTTGAAACATCAACTGTTCTGGATTCTAACAGATGTTTTTGGAAATAAAAAGAAAGAGTTGAGATACTAGAATCAGTACATGAAATTATAAATATATAGTATATGTAAAATAGTCTTAATTTTTTTCAACCTACTTAATGTTGACACACAAGATAAAGACAAATATACAGTTTCATACACAAGAAACAAATGAATCGAATTAAAATAACCTTTTAGAACAAAAATTCTCAAAATTACTTGGCCTACAACCCTCTTTAAAAAAAATCTCTAGCAGGGCTGGAGTGATAGCACAGGGTAGGGCGTTTGCCTTGCACGGGCTGACCTGAGTTCAATTCCCAGCATCTCATATGGTCCCCTGAGCACTGCCAGGAGTAATTCCTGGGTGCAGAGCCAGGAGTAATTCCTGTGCATCATTAGGTGTGACGTCAAAAAAAAAAAAGAAAAAAAAGAAAAAAACCTCTCTAGCATTCCTCTAGAGATCTGACTTCTGTAAGTGAACAGACAGAATCACCTCCGATGGCATCCCCAGCTACTCTCCCACTATCTCCCAATTGTTTCACCAGTCCTGGGAGGCTCTATCAACCAGGTCCAGAAACCCTGCTTTCAACCAGTGTTTATCTACACTTTTCCAACGAGGATCCTCTTCTGACCTTCCTTCCTTTCTGTGGCACCCCAGTCCTCCTTGATTGGTACCCTAGTCTTATGCTGTGCTCTCCCCTATTTGTATGATTTTACCTGGGACCCCCTGAAATATCCTGGGGTCTCACAAGGGTCACATAGCCTCCAGTTGAGAACTGCTGTTTTAGACTCTAAGATCTACTTAGTGATTTCCAGAAGGGAAGGGTAAACTGAGTAAAAGACGTCAATTGTATGGGGAAGAACATGATTGAACATTTAGTGATGAATTTAATGTCCATACAAGCAAGGATTCATGATGAGGCCCACCAGAAATGTGTATATTTGTGAAGCAGTGCTACTTCAATAAATTTTATAAAAAAAGGTTTAAAAAAATTTACATAGCTTTTCAATGTCCATTCTTTGTGAAACCAATGGATGGTGGTCTAATAAATATATACAGGCTTACTCCATCATACTTTTCAAGTAAAATATTCCTAAAAGGTTGTATGTAATAAGAAGGTAACGTGTGGGGCGGGGCAGGGGGGTTATGTCTGTATGTGGGTGGGCATGATAAAAAGTGAAGATCTAGAAAAGAAAAATAGTAACAGAGAATCAGTTAAAAATTAATGTATACTTCCTATGATTAAGTCATAATAAAGTCTTTTTTACAAGTTTTATTTCACTAACTACAACTCTATAAATAGTATTACTGATGAGGACACTAAAGCCATATCCTCAGTGATGACAATGGACAACATGTCCGAATGTTAGAAGTTAGTAGGTGGAAAAGCAGGACTTTTAACCTAACGTACCCAGCCCAGGACACTTAGATTCTTTCCCATTACGGCAAGTTCAGTGTCTGGTGGCAAGAAGTACTATAACAGCACCTGGGTCTCAAATCACCATCTAGTTCCATACTGTGATCTTAAAGGATAATTGAGTCTGTCACTCTAGAAACAGAACTAAATGAACATATAATGTAAAGAAATTCACAGCATCAGTGAGCCTACAAAAGTACTGTCAGTCTGCATTTGTTCTATCATTTCCACATACAAGCATAAAACACAGATTATGTCAACTATACATCCAGTTTAAACTGGAGCATGTTGTATATAAATAACACTTTAAAGCTGTTTGACGAGTATAATTAAATAAGAAATAAATAACATTGCTAAATAACATAAATATACTGAAATTTTTAACAAAATTATAAGACATATTTATAACAAAAATAACAAGTTAAATAACATTGTTATTTAACACTACTTGGGGAATAGTTTACAGTGTGATCAATCTATTATGTTACATGGCGATGTGTTATGTCCTTGTTTCTGCAAAGGAAACGATTGGGGAGGGATAAAAATCCCCCAACCATGGCTGGAGCGATAGCACAGCGGGTAGGGCGTCTGCCTTGCACGCAGCCAACATGCCCGACCCGAGTTCGATTCCTCCGCCCCTCTCAGAGAGCCCGGCAAGCTACCGAGAGTATTCGATATGCCAGACACAGTAACAACAAAGTCTCCAATGGAGACGTTACTGGGCCCGCTCGAGCAAATCGATGATCAACGGGAGGGCCTTTACTTACTTTACTATGCCTGTCACCCTAATTTTTCTAGTATACTATTCTGGATTAGTGTTTTCTAGAAAAATAATTGGGCATGTTTTTAAAAGGTACAGAAAAGTTCTTCACTAGTGATGGGTGTGGTTTTGGAATTATGTGCATGAGAAACCATTATTAATAGCAGAAAACCACAGAATTTCAATTCAAAATTTACACAAATAAACTTGATTAAAAATAAAGTAGTGGGAATTTTTAAAAAAAACTTTTCTAAGGATATGGTATTCATTTAATCCTCAACATACAGAAGTAGCTGGGCTGCTGGTGGTGCTCTCGCCCGGGGTCAACTTTGCTGGTGATTCTGGGATGGGTCAGGAAAAATTCAACAGGAGCCCCTCCCGGCCCCACCCCGCCCCTCGCTCGGCCCCGCCCCCTCCGGGCCCCGCCCCTCGCCCTACCCGCTTTCCTTCGCCCAAGCCCCAGCCCTCTCACCCGGCCCCGCCCCTCACCCGGGCCCCGCCCCTCGGCCTGCCCGCTTCCTCGACCGGGCCCCGCCCCTCAACAGGCCCCGCCCCGCGTCACCTGGGGCGCCTGCGCAGACCTCCGCGTGCGGCGCGGCTCCCTCGGTGCGCCGGGAGCTCGCCCAGACGTATCCGCGGCCGCGACGGGCACGGCCCCGGAAAGGTCGCTGCGTCACCTCCGCGTGGGGTCGTCCGGACGGCGACTCTTCCTCCGCAGCGCCCGGAGCCGACTCTCCCGGCGCATCGGCTGCCGCACTCAGTTCCTGAGTGTCATCACTGTCACTCGAGTCGGCTCGGCGCTGCCGGAATGTCCTTTTCGGCCTGTGAGCCATGACTGGGGCTCAGTCGCTTCCCGAGACTCTTAGCACCCTGGCCCGGTTTGTTTGGGGCCACACTTGGGCGGGTCCCGCCTCCCGCCCGGAGTCCGCATGCGCGTGGCTTGCTACGCGCCGGGTCGCGGGCTTAATACTGCGCATGCGCGCTCTTGCCGTTTTTGCTGGTTTTCCCTGACCGGTTCCCAGAGATCGGGTCTGGGTCCTTGTAGTGACTTTCTACCAGACCAGCTCTTGCTGCGGTAGGCAAGTGGTACTCAAAGAGTTCCTGGGCTGAATCTCACTGAAATAAGCACTCATAGACTTCTCCTGAGGGTGCTAGAAATCAGTCACTGTTACAGATTGGAGATTGTCTACTATGTAGAGAGTAAAGTTTTTAAAGAATTAAAACAATCATCACCCTTTGTCCTCCCCCCATAAAAAGAAGGGAAAAAAGCCCTCAATGCCCCTCCCCATCTCAGTCCCAAACCTGGAGTGAGTATGGAGGTGGTGTTCACCTAAAAGTTGACAGTAAACATGCATAAATGATAGATGCAATAAATACTCAAATGCAAAAAAAATGAATGCTTGCTCTCAGGTGGCAAGACGTCAACACAGAACCTGATTTGACTCATAAGGAAAATAATGTTCGGATGCCCACTCTCACCACTTCTGTTCAATATAATACTAGAAGTGCTTGTAATAGTGGCTAGGCAAGAAAAAGATATTAACAGCATCCAGATATGTTGGAGTACACGGAGCTTAGGTTTATCAGGTTGCACCCATCACAGTGCTCCCAAGTCATTTCTATTACTTTGTCTGTAGCTACTTCTTTGTGCTCTCTTCCCCAACCAATTTGTAAGGTCTCATCCTGCTTAGACGCTGAAGCTGGACTGTAAGTTAATATTGCCTTTCTCCTCTCCTTATGTCTTTTGAATAGTTTGCTTTAATGCAATGTCCTTTTGTATAGATACAGGAAGACAATTAATTAATATTATGCTTTATAACTTAGGAATTGATTGGCTTTGAATATTATTCACTTCTGGGCAACTGCCTTCTCAACTTAAGCCTCAGTTGCCCTCAATTCCTAGCACCTCCAGGGCAGGGTCCCGACATGGGACTGGATGGAAACAGGGCAAGCTGGTAAGTTATGGGCTACCCTGGCATCGAGATGGGCCAGGCCAAGGTGCCACGATTCTTAACTATAGGTTAAGAGTTTGATCATAGGCAAATGCTGTCATGATCCAAAAGTAACGACGAGACTAGGACCCTGCTGCTAGGAAAGGAAAGATATCTGGCCTGAGCACTGCAGTCTGAGATTGAGATGGCCCTAGGAGAGCAATTCTATAAGCTCAAAGTATTTCTTACTGTGTCCATACAAAATGATTAATATTATGTATGCTTATATGTTGGTTGGACAAGGAGAGGACAAACACGTCCTAGAAGCAGTTTTCCTATATGTCCTGACTAGCTTGGATGAGACTGAACTTTCTCCCCTCCAAACTGCCTTCAGTAAATGATTTCAGTATATTGAGGCAGTTTCCCTTATCTCACAGGAATCTAACTGGTCTTAGGTAAGCAGATCTCAGGTGCTAAGCCAGGCCTGATCTTGGGGATGTAGATGTCTGGCTCCAGACAGGCTGATATTTGAGATGTAGGCTCCAAGCTCTAGCAGACTTGTCTTTGAGTGTTAATCCAAGTAGTTTGTAAAGGTGAGGCCAAGATTACTGGCTTGTGGATGTAAAGAAACAATGTGGATGTAAAGAAACAGTATGGATGTAAAGAAACAATGTGGATGTAAAGAAACAATGTGGATGTAAAAAAATTGTGTATGTTTGCTGCCTCAATGTTCTTTCTGTAACTTCTTTTGATGACATCACTATATTGACCCTTTAAAGGTACCATGATGTATATAAGGGGATTTTGGGGGCTCTTTGGGGGGGCTCTCTTGGGGTGCATGAGCTTGAGGACTCCTGAGGCCTCCATGACATACATTTCTTGCATGTAATAAACTGCTGCTAAGACCAACCAGCTTAGCCCTCATTTCCTTCCTTCGCCTGACCATTGCCATCGACCTCCGTGGAGTGGGGAAATGGCCTGAGACTGCCAAACGCGGGCGGTGGGAGAGATAGGCCGCTGCCCTCCCCTTAGCTGTTCCTTTTTGTGTAATTACACACAGATAGAAAGGAAGAAATCAAGCTCTCACTATTTGCAGGTGATACGATGCTATATCTAGAGAATCCTAAATCGTCTACCAAGAAACTCCTAGAAACAATAGACTTGTACAGTAAAGTCGCAGGCTATAAAATTAATACCCCAAAATCCATGGTCTTCCTATATGCAAATAATGAGACAGAAGAAAGTGACATGAAAAAACAATCCCGGTCACAATCATGCCCCAGATAATCAAGTGCTTCAGAATCAGCCTAACTGAAAAGATAAAGGATCTCTACAATGAAAACTACAAATTGCTACTCCATGAAATAAAAGAGAACATGAGGAAATAGAAACATATCCCCTGCTTATGAATAGGGAGAATTAACATTGTCAAAAGGGCAATATTCCCCAAAGCATTACACAGATTCAATATGATCCCTATAAGGATATCCATCAAATTCTTCAAAAAATTAGATCAAGCACTCCTGGAATTCATATGGAACAACAAACTCCCACGAGTAGTTAAAGCAGTTCTTGGGAAAAAGACTTTGGGAGGCATTACCCTCTCCAACCTCAAACTCTACAACAAAGTGGTAACAATTAAAACTGCATGGTACTGGAACAAAGGCAGAGCTGCAGACCAATGGAACAGTGTGGAATATCCTTACACACAACCCCTAATGTGTGAACATCTAATCTTTGATAAGGGAGCAAGAAATGTGAAGTGGAGCAAGGAAAGTCTCTTTAAAAAATGGTGCTGGCATAACTGGACAACCACGTGCAAAAAAAAAATGGGCTTAGACCTCAACATAACACCATGCACAAAAGTCAGATCAAAATGGATTAAAGATCTCAACATCGGGCCAGAATCCATAAGGTACACTGAAGATAAGGTTGGCAAAACCCTCCACGATATTGAGGCTAAAGGTATCTTCAAAGACGACAATCAACTGACCAACTAAGTGGAAGCAGAGATAAACAAATGGGACTATCTTAAACTAAGAAGCTTCTGCACCACAAAAGATACAGTGATCAAAATACAAAGACAATCTACAGAACAGGAAAGGATATTCACCCAATACCCATCGGACAAGGGGTTGATATCAAGGATATATAAGGCACTGATTGAACACTGCAAGAAGAAAACATCTAACCCCATCAGAAAATGGGGTGATGAAATGAACAGAAATTTTCTCAAGGAAGAAATATGAATGGCAAAAAGGCACATGAAAAAATGCTCTTCATCACTAATCATCACGGAGATGCAAATCAATACAACCATGAGATACCACCTCACACCACAGAGACTGGTACACATCCAAAAGAACAAAAGTAACCAGTGTTGGTGTGGAAGTGGGAGAAAGGAACCCTCTTACACTGCTGGTGGAAATGCAGACTGGCTTAGCCGTTCTGGAAAACAGTATGGACGCTTCTCAAAAAATTAGAAACTGAGCTTCCATTTGACCCAGCGATACCACCCCTAGGAATATATCCCAGAGATGCAAAAAAGTATAGTCGAAGTGACATCTGCACTGGTTTGTTCATTGCAGCACTCTTTACAATAGCCAGAATCTGGAAAAAAACCTCAGTGCCCAAGAACAGATGACTGGTTAAAGAAACGTTGGTGCATCTACACAATGGAGTATTATGTAGTTATTCGAAAAGATGAAGTCATCAAATTTACATACAAGTGGTACTACATGGAAAGTATCATAATAATTGAAATGAGCCAGAGAGAGAGGGACACATATAGAAAGATTGCATTCATCTGTGTAATATAAAGTACAAAATAGGAGATTAACACCCAAGAATAGTCGAGATAAGTACCAGGAGGTTCACTCCATGGTTTGGAGGCCAGCCGCATATGCTGGGGGAAAAGGCAGCTCAGATAGAGAAGGGAACACCAAGTAAAGGGTGCTGAGAGTGTGTAAACGCACAAAAAATAAAAAGGCCGGTGGTCAGGCCGTTTCCCCACTCCACAAAGGTCGATGGCGATGGTCAGGCAAAGGAAGGAAACGAGGCCAAGCTGGTTGGTCTTAGCAGTCATTTATTACATGGAAGAGATGTATGTCATGGAGTCCTCAGGAATCCTCAAGCACGTGCGCCTTTGTTCTCTCAGCTTCTGTCCTCAGCCCCATCTTCCCAGGTTCTCTGATGCACCTGTCCTCCCCAGAGAGCCCTGAAATCTCCCTTATATAGATCATAGTACCTCTAAAGGGCGCAATATAGTGATGTCATCAAAAGGAGTTACAGAAAGAACACTGGGGCAAAACATACATTGTTTCTTTACATCTGCAGGCCAGTAATCCTGGCCTCACCTTTTTATAAGCTACAAGCACTTAGATTAGCACAACAAAGACCAGTCTGCTAGAGCTTGGAATCTACATCTCCAAAATCAGCCAGCCTGGAACCAGACATCTACATCCCAAAGATCAGGCCTGGCTTAGCAACTGGGATCTGTATACCTAAGGCCAGCTAGGTTCCTATGAGATAAGGGAAACTGCCTCAATATACTGAAATCATTTACTGAAGGCAGTTTGGAGGGGAGAAAGTTCAGTCTCATCCAAGCTAGTCAGGACATATAGGAAAACTGCTTCTAGGACGTGTTTGTCCTCTCCTTGTCCAACCAACATATCACTTAATCACTTAATCACTTAATCCCCGTTATTCATCGATTTATTCGAGCGGGTGCCAGTAACGTCTCCATTCCTCACGGTTGCGTGCTAGCGTAGCCCAATGGTATCTGTTCGTTTTAGGAACATGTAGAGCCTCAAACCGATCATTTAGGGTCTTGACGAAGAAGTCTGACCATCTTATAGGTGGGCGTCCACGTGATCTTTTGATGTCTCGTGGAATCCAATCAGTAATGGCTCTAGTCCAGC